CCCCCTCCCCGGGTTCTCCCTGCACGTGTCTGGTCACAGCCTGGCTCTGCTGCGCCCAAGGACCAACCTCTGCGTCCTGCACCCTCCCCGGGCGGTGCTGCAGCCCCAGGCCTGGGTGTCCACACCCCGGCTCCCCTGGCCTTCTGCAGGGTGGGACCTGGGAGGCTGAGCTCTGGCTGCAGTGAAAGGGTTTTAAGGGTCAGGGCTTCCCACCATGTGCCTCTGAATGTCCCAGCTCCAGCTGCAGAGGCTCTGCCACGGGGGGGATGGCAACTGAGGTTACAAATGGGGCTACTCCTAAAATGAAGGAAGGCAAAAGGGACACAGCAAAACCCCAAGGCAGAGGAGCATTTGACACTCGAGTCTTCCCTTGAATGGAGCCCACTAAGGGTGAGTACTGCTGATTTGGATTAAGTTAACGTGTGATGATTTTAGCGCTGCATCTCTAGCACATCTCATCATTCTCCCAGCCTCTGCAGTGCAGGGTACTGTAACCAGGGCTCTCCAGTGTCTGGTTCAAGTGGGGAGGGTTTGCAGATGTTACAGCAGCATTACATCATGTTTCCAAGGCGGGCAGTGGTGTTACTGGTGCATTTGTGTCTGGAATGGGAGGGCTGAGGTTAAAGTGCCACCATGCCCAGCCCCCTGTGGGCAGTGCACCCTGCAGCATCCCCCTAGCCAGTGACCACTGAGGGTGGGATGTCCCGAGACATCCCTGGATGGGACACAGAAACCCGTCCTAACGAACCACGAGGGAAGTCAGTGCTTGCTCTGAGTTGCAGCCCCACGGAGCTGGCTTTCCTGGCCGCTGCCCTGCAGGGGACTTCTAGAGGAGGTCTGGAGGAAAGGCAGTGCCGAAGAAGGTTGGGAAACAGGAGCTGGAATTGGGAAGTACCTGGAAACAGCTGATTCTCAATGACTAAAGGGCAGGGAATAGGTTATGTGTCCGCCTGGCACTCCCATCACATTCAGGCTTTTCCTGCTTTTAACGCTCATGTACGTGTTGCCACTATTCCACACTGGCTTTCCTTTTCCAAACCTGCTGGTCCTGCTTCTGTCAGCCCCTGCGCATTTCCTTGCTGAGATGACTGTCCCTTTGGCTTCCAGGGTGCCCATCACGCTGGGGAGCTGGTAAGCTGTTTCCGAGGCAGGAATGTTGCTGTGCCTGCTTACGGATGGTTTTAGAGTCACACCGCAGCTCGGCATTTGTCGATTAAGAGTATCGCAGTGTCCGTACAGAACACGGGATGTGTCCTCTCGGAGGTGGGTGGAAGAAGGGTGGAGGCAGGAGTTTTGCTGAGCAGCTGTGTTCAGCAGCAAGTCACCGCTGCCCTCTAGTGTCCTGCGGAAGGGAACAATACCCAGCAGGTACCGCTTTTACCGGCCTCAAAATGGGCTGCTTGCTAAACCGGTGCTTTTTTCATCGGGCTCGATGTGCAATGCAAGCAGCACAGCGAACCTAGCAAGGAATGCTCGCTTTTAAAGCTAGAGGTTACCGAGTATCCCAGCCTGGGTTGGGTTGAAGGGACCTTAGAGCTCATCCATTCCCAACCCCTGCCACGGGCAGGGACCCCTTCCACTAGAGCAGCTTGCTCCAAGCCCCTGTGTCCAACCTGGCCTTGAACACTGCCAGGGATGGGGCAGCCACAGCTTCTCTGGGCACCCTGTGCCAGCGCCTCAGCACCCTCACAGGGAAGAGTTTCTGCCTAAGAGCTCATCTCAGTCTCCCCTCAGGCAGGTTAAAGCCATTCCCCTTGGCCTGTCCCTACATCCCTTGTCCCAAGCCCCTCTCCAGGTTTCCTGCAGCCCCTTCAGGCACTGGAGCTGCTCTGAGGTCTCCCCTTCAGGAGCCTTCTCTTCTCCAGGCTGACCCAGCCCGGCTCTTTAGAGGACAGGGTTGGTTTTCTGTCTATATCCACTTTGTCTGTCTGCATCTCAGATGCCTTGTGACACTCCCACCACAATGACTGATGTCTTTGTTCCCTATTTCTCCTCTCCTCTACGCACACACATGCCCACACCCCACCAGTGCTGGCATGGCTGAGAAGTCCTGACCAGCTTCAGGATCATGGCATCCCTCTGGACTTCCAGGGCCCAGCTCCCACCCAAGACCTCCGTGTGGCTGCACAATTTAATGAGTGACCAGGAAGATGTGACTAGCAAAATAGCGAGGGGTAAAACCAGTGCAGTAGTTCCTTTTGCTGTGTGCAGGGCTCAGGGTGAGGAATGGTCTGAGGCTGCCACGAACATGGGATGCAAGTAACAGGGGAGAGTGGCTGACGGTCAGTGTGAGGCTGTAGTACTGAAAGGCAGAGTCTGGAGTTAGTTTGAGGACATCAGTTACTGCGCTTTAAACTCTATGGACAGAAAGTGCTATATTCTAAGAATTTCAGTAGTGGTTTTCTGTGATTTACTGGTTTACTGAGGCTATTAAAGGCCCTTTGCTTATTTAAACCCCTCTTTTTCTAATGCTTGGTTTTAAGAAGGTGATACTTTTACTGTTGAGCTCTGAAACGAAGGGGAGTCAACCAGAAAGCTGCTACACGCTCAGTGTCTGCCCAAAGATGGGGCAGGAGGGAATCGTTCTTCTCTCTCTGGAGGACACAACCTACTAAAGCACAAGGGAAAAGGGACAATAAAATACCAACGCTGCTCCCCGCAGATGAAGGAAAAAACGTACAGGAATCATTACAAAGAGAACAAACTCTCCAAGCAGACCAGAATGGGGTTGGATTAAAAAACGTGTATTGGATGGCCAATACAAAATCATAAACATGAAGGTATTAAAAAAAAAAAAGCCATCGAGTATACAGCAAATACTACAGGAAAGCAAAGAAATGGTACAGAAAGGCAGACATCTACAGCAGTCCTCCAAACAGGCTACATGAGAATCAGAAAACAATATACAGGTTTGGTTTGTTTCCCCCCAGATGGCTGGGGGAAGCTGTCACTTACCAGCTTGACTATGACACTACAAGGATACACAATGTCCCGAATTGAAAATCACAGGGGATGTAAGAAAACGTAGCATTAAAATGTGAAAAAGTGCAATACAGATTGTACACTGAACTGAATGGGTGGTGGATTTTTCCTCTTTTTTTTTTTAACCTTAAAAAACCAACTTTGAACAGTTGTTTTAGCATTAAAAATATTCCCCCCTCCCCAAATTCAATGCCAATATTAACATTCATGGTGTTATACAGAAGGAATATTCACAAAGACCCACCAGCTAAGAACACTGTGTATGTAGGATGGCATTTCTTTGGGTATAGGTAAAAAATAGGCAAAGGAAAACATTCCCCTTCCCCCCCCCCCCCCCCCCCCTTTCAGGACAAGGTGTGGATTTTAGTATTTAAATACATATTCTATAGCTTATTTTGCCCCAAATTGTATTGATTAAAAGTTCCAATCATCATTTTCCGGGTGGCCTGTGGTGCTCTGATTCATTTCCTTTCCTTCCCCCTCAGGAAGGAAACCCAGCAAATGTCCTAGAAGCGATGCCACAAGGAGTCCAGGAACAGAAAGGATGTAAAAGTACAACCCAAGCCCTGTTGCTCTCTGGGGGATTTCTCAGCTCTCCCTTCTGCTGACAGAGACCATGAAAACAGGCCCAGAGCTTTACTCGGGTGGATGAAAGGACAGGAATGAAGCAAAGTTCTTGGGTTTTAAATTTAAGCAGATGACAGCATTTCCTCTTCCTGCTCTAACAGGTCCAGACATCCAGCAGAGATGCTGTGGACTACAGCAGCAGCACCTCTCGCCTGCAATGCCTGTTACCTGCACGTCCCAGCTCCCACATCTGACTGCTCAGGAGGAGTCAGTAACTTGTGAGCTTCCTTTCAGCCTAAAGGTGAAATGGCACACGAGCTCCTCAGGCAGCTGAATGCATTTTCTTTTTTACCTAAAATCACTGCAGAGTACAAGTTTGGATTGGAAGGGACCTTCACAGCTCACCCAGCTCCAACCCCTGCCACAGGCAGGGACACCTTCCATTAGAGCAGGTTGCTCAGAACCACATGCAGCCTGGCCTTGAATGTCTGCTGGGATGGGGCAGCCACAGCTTCTGTGGGCAACCTGTTACAGACTGCCCAGAGACAACTTCTTGGGTCGGAAGGGACCTCAAAGCTCATCCAGCTGCAACCCCTGCCACGGGCAGGGACACCTTCCACTGGAGCAGCTTGCTCCAAGCCCCTGTCCAACCTGGCCTTGTTAAAATGGCTAAACTACAGTCCCTCTCTTCAAGCCAGGGAGAAAGAAAACCCCCTTTTCCTCCCCTCACACAGGAGTTCCCTTGTATCCTCCCTTCCTTTCCAGACAGCTCTGCGCCGGCACCCCAGCCACTAACACCGGTTTTCATCTCAACTGGTTCCAGAAGTGTAAAAATAATACACTTTTGCCTTGCTTCTGTCTCTGAGGAATCCTTAGGGAAGGGCTCTTGTTTAGATGGCCTGGGCCAGAACTTCAACTGAGTGGCACTGGGAACATCTGCAGTGTTCTCAGAAGTACGATACGGTGTAGTGCTGATGAGAACAGGTCCCCACAGCCCAAACCTAAGCACTGCCAGTGAGGAGCTGCTGCCTCCCGGCTCGGTGAGCTCCATCTGCACGTCAGAGCTTCACGAGGAGAACTGTCCACTACCACCAACACAACAGAGCCAAAGCAAGCTGCAGTGTCATCTGAACACAAGGATTCACCTTACTTTACAGGAGGAATCAGGACTTTTAACGTTTCTCAATGAGACTCTCACTGCAAGTCAGTAACCAGGGACACAGTATGCTGAAGGTCCACGGAAGGACGTTACAGAAGATGCTATCATTTTCTTCAGTCTTTCGGGTCCATGGAGAAAGACAGGAAATCAACAATAATGAAACCTCCCACTGGATCCCCTCCCCTTCCCCAGCTACTTTTCCCCCACTCAAAATATTGAAACGGCACAAAAAGCGACAAACAAGCCTTTTAAATTACATTTCAATTCAAACAGAGCGGGAATCTCACAGTGATGAGAGGAGAAAGTCAGGCTTTTAATAATTATAATATAAAAATAATAAAAAAAGCTTACAAAGAGCAGTGCAGCATCCCAAAAAGGCCATGGATTAACTGCCAGAAGGGGACGTCAGAATACGCAGGGTAAAAAACAAAACAGAACAACCCACACTGGCAATGAATTTCCATACACGATAGAACAAGCAGTCAAACTTCAGTCTAGGCTGTGGAAAACAACAGTTTCTCCTTTTTCTTCTTCTTCCTTTTTTTTTATTACAATTTTTTTTTTCCTTTTTATAAAAAAAGTTAAAATAAAAACACAAATAAAATTGTACATAAATGCCAATGTCCAACACTGAAAAGGCAGGGCAATCACACCACTGAGACAAAACCTGACCAGAAATAAAACAACCCTCAAGTCCACTTTCTTTCCTTTAGTCTGGATGCTGGAGCTGAGCCTGCTGCATCCCACCCTGCGCGGTCTCAGCAGGTCACTGGAATTCAACTTGGCAAAGACTTCATTGCAGGACGATGACAAGAAGGGTCATCTCTTTTTGACCAGCTGTAGCCCAAACGCTGGTTGGTTCCCATTTCCATGGGCTGTCCCTCGTTCTGGTTTTCCTTTAGTTTTGTTTTTTCTTTTCCTTTTTTTTTTCTCTTTTTTTTCCTCTGTACAATTCCTTGTGTTCCAAGGCTGAGTCCCAAGACTTGTGACACTGTCTGGAGTCATGTCCCGGTGAGGGCGGTCATGCTGTAGTGATGGCATTAAGGTCCTTCATAAGTCCTTCCAGGTGGGCCATCTCTTTGGTCAGCTCATCCGGTTCATAGTTCTGTGGGAGATGGAAAGAGTGACTGAGGGTAACCTCTTGTCTCTGAAGAGGGACAGAGCAAGAAGTAACGAGAAACAGTCAGTGATTCTGGAGCAGATTGTGACCCTGACACATGAATAAGCAGGAACAGATTTATTGACAGTTACAGGAATTAGTAACTTGAAACAAGTCTCTATTTTAAGCACAGATCTCTTTGCAGCAGTGATTCATAGTTTCACTGACTTTTAAGGCTGTGACCAGCTTATCTGCTTTCCTTGTATCAATTCCTGCTTTGAGATAACAGCTTCCTTTGAACCAAAGTAGGTATTTTAGAAACATCTTCCCAGCTTACTTGGAAAAAAGGTCAAAGGAGAACTGCTCTGAGAATCATTTTGCTTTGCTAAAATCCTACTCCATTTTTAGCCTCATCTCTGTAGCTGCAGCTATACTGATACAGCTATCATCATCACCAGTTGGACTTGATCACCTCAAAGGTCTTTTCCAACCTACACCTATCTATGACTCTATTCTGCCATCACTGCATGGATGCAGATAGATGCCATGAACTGATTCATCTCAAAACCCTTCCTAAGCTGACCAAGTCTTGCCCAGTACCGTGTGGTTTTCAAGCCCTTACATTCTTGGAGCCTTTCTCCAAACCCTCTTTGCTCTCTCAGCACCACTTCCATAGGCAGCATCCAGGCTGCTCGTGGTATTCCAATGCCAGCTCTGCTGATGCCAGATCAGAACCTGCTTCATAGTTTCTGCTCTGTAGGTTTAAAGGCCATTATTAGACCTTATGGCTAGAGTCTAATATTCAGGCTGCTGCTCAGCTGATTGCAGCCTGTACTTATTAATGAAGAAATGTATTAATGGCCATATCTCAGTATTACAAAGTTGATGAATAAACTAACGAGTATGTTTTTGGTACCAACTGAGGGAAAAGAATAAAGTAGGAATGACAACAAGACAGAAGGGCAAAAGTGCACCAAATCAAGGCTGCATACAGAAAGGAAAGCAAGAGGGTGACAAAAGGAAAGGGCAAGAAAGAAACAAGAAGTAATAATAATGATCAGCATTTCCTGTGCCAGTAATGCAGTAAGTTTTTGGCTTGCAATTTCAATGGAAAACAGCTCTTCCAGTGCCTGATGCCCAACACCTCTCCTTTTCTTAAAAGCTGCCTCCAAAGAAGCTCAACAATTGGATGCATTTTCCCCCCAAAATCAGAACACTCCTATATGAGTATCTAAACCCAGATGTGGGGAGACGGCTCATCACCCTGAGGCTGAGGCTCATTCTGGCACTAATGCGAACTCTTCCAGCTGCAGTGACACTCTGGCTGCTCTGCAGCAGTGCAGCAACCTGCAGCTGCAGGACTTTCATAGGATCCAGGCACAGTATGCTGGCAAACCCAAGCGAAATGACTCACATCTCAAAGCCAGCATGAATACATCATCTTCAGCTGTACAGGGAGCAAAAAGGCACTGCTGGAGGCCTTCAGGTCTGCAGACAAAGATGCTCTTTATATCAAGAGAGGCAGGCAAAACCAAGACATGTAGGGCACTACAGCTCCAGTATGGAAGCCCAAGTCATAAACCAAAGCTCCCTTAGGCACAGAGTACTATGAAGAATGCAAAAATTAGGTACTGTGTAACTAGGAATGAAGGCATGCTCTTAAACTTTCAGATTCAGAAAGGACTTGAAAACTGAAGTGCCTATTCTCTGAATTTACTGCCTTGTGTACAAAGTATTTGCACTACGGTTTTGGATATGGGTTAACCAGCGCTTGGTGGAAGTCAGAGGACTTGTTATCCTTTCGACAGTCTCAGTGCAGACATCACTAAAGCTTCCAAGTGTCACCTAAAGAGAGATTCACCACAGTTTGATCAGCACTGCCAAAGAAAGCCCCTGGCGGTGCTAAGAGTACCTACACTTTCTGAGTCCTCAAGCATCCTGGTGGTCTCCTGCACATCAGGGGCACTGGGGACTACCACGGGCATAGGAGGTCGAGTTCTTCCTAAAGTCCCAATCGATGCAGTCTTCACCGAGTGAACTGGATGGGCAGGAGCTTAAAATAAAGTGTTACACGGTTATACCACAGTTGTACCAGATAATGAATTGTTTTGCCTGTCCAGAAAGCTCTTGAAAGCAGGAGAATAAAAAGGATTCTATTAGAGGAAAATAAGCACTTCGAATTATGGAGTACCGAGTTTGACATTTTGTCTTGCTTATCGATGCAGATAAAAGGGCCTTGAAAGACAAAATTCACCCCAGCCTCTGGCATATTTCCTCTGATGCCCAACGCTCCCCCTCACCCTTTCGGAGCTTCTCTCTTTTCCTTAAAACCCCCTTTTTGTGCCCGCTGTTCCCTGCTCACCTTGCTGCGTTAGCAGGGGCGTGCTGGGCAGCGCAGGGTCGTACGCGGAACCAGCAGGTGGAACGGCTGGCACTGCAAAGCTCTTCAGCGGGTGGGAAGGACGCACGTGGGCCGTGGGCAGGTTCTGAGCCGAGTCCTCCTCTTGTGCGTTAGCCAGGTAGGACCCTGTGGTGCTTTCCAGGTCCTGGTGGTCAGCACAGGTCTGGGATGAGGAAGCTGGCATGGTGTCTGTGCTGGGCGTGTTCCGAACAGATTCTACAACACACACGACAAGGAGAGGTTTCTTTTCTGTAACAGAAATATCCTCTGTGGGCAGATGAAACCAGGAGTGTCTGCAAGTACCTTTTCCAAGGTCACTGCTAGAAGCTAAGCACTGAATTCACAGATTAACCATCTGTGTAGCAAATGACACCAACTCTGTGTAACTGCTCTGTTCTGAGGTGAATGACAATGACTGTCTAATAACAGAATAAGCCTGAGGACTGAATGATTCCATGGGTATAATACCAAACCAAGACTTACACTGAAACAGCCACATGGAGTAAGACCTTGAATAAACAGCATGAAACACAAATCTTACTTTACCCTGGAGTATTTCACAGGATTGGCCTTCTTAAACAGGTATACATAATATGTGCTGACAAGCCAAACTGCTCCTGAGATAGACTTGAAATCCCTTTACTTACTGAAAACCCTTTACTTGCTGCCTTTATTTGCTTGTTTTCATCAGGCTCCACTCTGCTGAATCTACTGATCTAAGAAAACTGTGAGATGGTGTCTTCAATTGAGGGCATCGTGATCCTACCTGGACCACATGCAGGGAACGATCTGGACTGTGAGAGCTGCCACTTCAGGAGTACAAAGAGAACAAGGGAAACCTCCAACTTGCCATCTGCCTGGGTATTTGCAGCCTCCTGAATTGCTTCCATAAGGAAACAAGTTGTTGGCTGTGGCACCTTAGTTAAAATGTAACCTTAAGCTTGAGAAGCTCAGAATTCACTTCATCTCATGATATTACTTACGTGCAACTTAGAAGTACCCTCTCACTGGAGACATTACAAGAACTACAGCAAATGCCTGGGCTTCAGGCCTGAAAATCCTGCACAGGAATCACCACAATTCTCTGTGTGCTTCAGGAAGATCAATCAAAGCCAGCTCTCAGCAGCAAAGGCTGGATTTTTGTCCTCTCTTGGTTTTACGTGGAACTAATTAGGATAAAAGTTGTTGTATTAAGTAGATTAAATGAGACTTAATCTGATGTTACAGACTCCATGGCTGAAGGCTCTAGAATAAGGAATGTTCCTACTTGAAGCTATATATAAAACATTAAGCTTCCTTTTCCGAGGACATCATCACCTATCACAACATCTGATCTACACCACAAACTGTTCACAGAAAACCCTGTCAAGGGTTTGGTCTGCCCCCGCTCAGGGCACACCGCAACAGAGACCAACCAAGTGAAGTGTCAGGCTTTGATTGCCACTCATCGTTCCATTACGAGCAAAATCTGTCTGCTCATTAATGTCTCACCTGTGGAATTGGCCCTGTCTGAATGGGACATGGATGTGCCAATCGGCCACGGGTTGACCTGGTGATGGAGATAGCTGCGAGTTGGAGAAGCGAGGCTGCCGGAGTGGAAATGATGGTGAGGGTTATCGAGTGAATGGATGGGATGAGCACTAATCACAGCTGTGAATGAATACAAGACAGAAAAATGCTTAACATACAGACAAGCATGCACGTGTAGTGAAACACCACATCCCTCCCATCCCACCAAGCCCCTGAACAGGGGACGCAGGCTGACAGCGAGTAAATCTCAGCAGGTTCACAGTGACACCAAGATGACCTGTTTCAATCCCAATTTTCCAGCACTTCAGCTCCCTCCCTGCCAAACCACATAATGGCTGCAGCTCTGCATTCCAAAGCAGAATCTGGAGGAAAACCTGCTCCTGTGAAAAGCCACATCCCTGGGAAGTTCACCTTGCCACCTAAGCCAGCTTAACCTGCTGGGCTTTGCCAGTAACTCACTGGGCTATCAGACCTACATCACACGTATCTTTACAGGTCAACTTGTACCACCTGCTCCTAATTAAGATTGTGATGAGCTGTTTCCAGGAAAAGTTCACATGAAGAGCTAAAATGTGGTGTGGTAAGAAAAAACCAGCCCTTTGCTTCTTAATATCCTTTCAGGTTTTTGTATTCCAGTTGTCAAAGGAGGAGCTAACCAGGCACACCCCATTACTGCGAATTACACTAAAACTGAACACAGTGAATTACCATCATTTAGGATTTAAGAGGTAAATAACTATGCTTGAATAGTAGGAGGCAAAAAAAAATCCATAGGAAGGTATCTGCAGGCAGTCTTTAACACACGAAATGGTCCTCCTGCCTTCTGCTTGCTGAGAAAGGCCCTCACGTACCAGAGAGTTTTCTGTGGAGCTTCTGCAAAAAGGCATCTACAGACATTACATCGACGTTTCCACTTACTATAAAATAGAAACCTACAGCTGGAAGCCCTCAGAGCTTTTGCAAACAGAATAAAAAAGTCAAAGTCACAAACCCAATCTTCAGCCCTCAGGCACCAGAAGACCTTACACATCCTTCCTGACATTCAGTGCATCATGCTAACCTGTCACAGCAAGCCAGCTATGTCTGCTTCTGGTTTGCTCCTTCTGGACAAGGCAAGATCTAATAAAGAGGGGGAAAACAAAGCGGTTTTCCAAGCAAAGGCAGCAGGGCTGGTATCACAATGAGAAATCAAAGCTGGGGTTTGTGCTGCAAGGAAAAAGTCATACCCACAACTCAATCTGCAGCATTATCACATCAGCTTGAGTACAAGCAAAAGGTAGAACTGCAATATACCACCTCCCTAAAATATCTATCACCACTCTATCACTTCTGTCAACTGTGTATCTTTTCACCCTAGGTGGGACTGATCATGGAAGATGCTGAGTATCTTTCTCACTGAATAACACAGTACCAGGAGTACTTTGCTACGCTGTTTCCATGGAGCACTTGGCACCTTTCACAGCACCAGCTCCTGTATGGGTCTATCTGATGCTCTGTGTATCCAGTGCTGCATCCTTTTGAGAGAAGAAACACTTAGAGGAGTGCAAGGTAAGACTTACTGCAGTCTGAACTTGTTATGGAGTCACAAAAGCCTGAATTCAACATGTTTCAGCACCTGGCATAGGACAAGAAACCACCAGAATCCAATAGCTGCAATGCCCTTTGTTAGATACCCATATTTGACAGAAGACAAGCTACAGATTATCAGTGTCAAACCGCATCCTCCACTCCTTCCTCACACATGTAACACCAGGAGGAAACAAGGAGCATCACTACTTATTTTAAAACTAAGAAAAAAAAATACTACTCTTGTAAAAAGGTTGGAAAATAAGGAAACAGTCAGAGATTCACAAAGTGAGCTAATCAGGTCATCAGGACACTTGAGAAAACACGAAGAGGCCCCGTAAACCAAGTGCTCACTTCAGCTAAATAGAGCAAAAATACAGCTGAAACACGCTGGACTGGTGTGAAATCATCCCACTTAACAGAAAGGTCAGGGTAGCAATCACCTGGCACAGGGCTGGCCACGACCATGGTGCTCAGGGAAGTCTAAGCTCAGACTAGAGAAGCACACAGTGATTCTGCCTCATGGTTCTGTCTCTGCATATTAACTTGGGTGCATTTTACCTGTGCTCTCCTGTCAGGGCTCCCAGCTGTTCGGGGGTTTAGCCAAGTCTTTTTCCATCTCAGAGTCATCATTGGAAAAGTAGATACATTGTTTGATTCTAATAATTAAAATCTATTTCTACTGCCTCAGCAATATTTCAGTTCAGCACTTCTGCTCAAGTCATCATTAAGTGATAAGGAAATGCAGAGATAAGAAATAAAACCCCAGATATCCTGCTCATTTAAAAGTATGCTCTGCCAGACTCACAACATCTCAGGCTCTGTCAGTGCTCTAGCCATGTTCTAATCAATTTGATAACAGACACATCATGAAGCAAAGCTAAAGTACATACTGCAGGCTTTTGGTAGCCTTTCCAAGAGATGAGCATGTTACTCCTTCACAGAATCACAGAATAAATCACAGAATAAATCACAGAAGGGTTTGGGTTGTTCCAACCCCCTGCCACGGGCAGGGACACCTTCCACTAGAGCAGCTTGCTCAAAGCCCTGTCCAACCTGGCCTTGAACAGTGCCAGAGCCGTTCCTTCTGCTTGGCAAATTAGGGGACTAGCTCCCAAGCAGGGATGTCTTGCACTGAAACACGCAGTGATCTATCCAATTCTCTCTTCCTAATTCACTACTTCAGCATCATTTCTGAAGCTGCTCCTGAGCCACTGTGAGAAGACAGATTCTCAGAGGACAGACTCACAGACAGAGAACAGTAAGCATCCCTGTTTAATTGATCATGTTTCTCAGTGACACAGGCTCTCCCTAAACTCCACCTGCAGCCACCACTGCTGGAGACTGGGACAGCTGGGCACATTCCTAACTCTTCCCCACTTTTGCAGCACACCTCCCCTTGCTCAAATACACCTAATCCCGTTTTTCCTTTTAAGGGTACCTTCTTTGAACTGTTCCACTGCAGATACAACAGAATTACTTAGGAGCAGTAAGTAGGAAGGCAGTATGTGAGTGTGTGTCTGTGCATATGGCATCAGCACGGTTGTTTGGGTGCTCCCCATATCAAGCCAGCTAGTGGGTGGGCTGTTGACTTACGTTGAGGTGGTTGAGAATCAAAAGGCATCATCATCTTGGGCCTCATCCCCCTTCTTCCTGCCAGCGTGGACATGCTATCCTCTGACTCATGCCCTGAAGGAAAAACACTGAAGGTTATTTACCACTGCAGCAAGACTTCTGTGGTACCACACCAGACTGCTTCAATCCTCCTCTCTTTATTTCTGGGCTGTCCTCTTTGTAGGCAGTTCTGTGACTCAGAACTGATAAAAACAGCTCTTTCATCCTTCACTAAAAGGTGGAGAAGAGGACAGTTAGGGTAAAGCTTATTGGGCACTGGAGAAACTCTCTGGGCCGTACTGCAAAACCGAACCTCAGGCAGCGCAGCTATGGGGAGTGAGCGGCAGTGCAGAGCCACATGCTGGCTGGTTAACAAGTTAACCATTCCCCAGGTGAAAACTCACCCGCACCTCAAGAGCCAAGCAGCAGCTGGTTAAAGCACCAAAACCTGATCGTGTGTTTGACCACTGAGAGAACGTCACATGTGTCTCAACTACTTAACACGAAACACTTGCTAGATGACTACTATTTGGTATTTACCAAGGGATAGTCATGATTTAACTCTTGGGCACACAACTTTGGCACGAAGAGTGTGACCCATCCTTTTCAGAGGGCCCTATAAACTAGGCACAAACCCAATTCGCTACTTGGAAAACAAGAGCAATTTGTCAATAAAGTGATTTCACCAGATAGAGTTAACTTTAAACCTCACCTCTGTAGGAATTCCGCCGCTGATGGATATTGCTGTCCATGGAATTATCAACCGGGGTGATGTCTTGGGAGTTGCGAGGGATTGGGGTATCGGTCATGATTGGATTGGGATCTGGAGATTTATCAATAGGTTTCAGCTCCAGCCTTTCGTGATGGATCCAAAGGTCAGGGGGTTTGACATCTTTGGAGTTTCCTTTGTACTTGTGGGACCCGTTCACTGATTTGCAGGCAGCTCGTTTCCTTGGGAAGGGAAACAAACGGAATGTTCTTACATAGAGGATTCCTTTCGCTCATTGGAAAAGGCAAATTTGCAATGTGATTTCCCTCAGATCTTGCATCCAGCTGAGCAGGAGCTGCCCACTGGGCAGGAAGCTTTGAATTTTACATCTGACACCTCAAAGCATATTCTGCAACATGAAATTTGTCTCAAATGCTACACACGCTGCAGAACTGTGCTCTGCAGCCTGAGCCTTCACTAACAAAGTAAAGTTCTCAGTACTTGTGCTTATTAAGAGAATATTCTAAACAGGAAGCGTACATCCATCATGCTGTGCCCATACTCCAGGGTGTACGACCAACCTCAAACAATAGCTTGTGGGAATAGTGGGAAGAGTGCGCAGAGAGCTGATTACCCCAATGGGATGGTTAACTTTGAAGATTAATGACAGGAACGTTCATTTCACTGCTGCTCAGGACACACACGTCTGACTGAGGAGCTTTCTCACTGCTGCTGAAGGGGGGCAGCAGCAAACTGTGAGGCAGACATGAGACTGGGCTGGATGGGGCTTGGAACACTCTGCTCTAAGTGGAAGGTGTCCCTGCCCATGGCAGGGGGTTGGAACCGCATCAGCTTTAAGGTCCCTTCAGGCCAAACCAGTCTGGGATTATGTAACTCTATTGGACATGCCATGCAGAGTTCCAGCACTTTCCTTCACCCCCCCTCGCTTTGGACCCTGGCAGTGATGGAGGAAGGCATCCCTTCTGGGTAGCACGTTTCCTAGAACTGGCTAAGAGAGGACTAAATACAATTTTGAAAGCTATCAGTGAGCAGAGCCTCTGGTGAGGTGATTTGCAGGCAGATGTGCTCCTGGCACCCTGCTTTAAGCGCTGCAACTACAACAGATCAGAAGGTTATTCACTGGTTGTGGGTTGCTGCACGTAAGAGAGGTGGCATTTAGGACTGGAGAAACAAAGGCAAGAGTTCACAGGGTTATTTCTGCTCTTTGAAAACAAAATGCCATGAATTTTGCCCTCTCCCAAGCATATCCCCCAGTTGCTCAACCACCACTCCTGTATCCTTGCTCTCCTCTCTGCAAAAACTTGCATTTTTGCAGGACGGTTCACCTTCAGCAAAGCAAGTGGAGATTATCTTCCAAGCCTGGCTTTTCATCACTGTCTTAAACCTCTCTTTAGCATAACAGAGTCTTTTCAAACTTAAAATAAAAAAGCTTTCAGCTCTCTTCAGTCCTTTTGAAAGAACACGCAGGAACAACCTCGTCAGGAGCCTATACATGGAAGCGTTGCTGCTGTAGTCTGAATTCAGATGCTCTAAATGAGGGAAGAATTCAGATACCCATCTGTATTTTGGAACACTTTTCTAAGGAGTCCAGCACCAGGCTCCAATTCCACTCCAGCATCTAGCTAAAAACTGGGTATTATCCTGCACAGCCTATAAAGCAACTCCACACCATAAAACACCTGCTAAGAACAGAAGTGAGAGCTCTCACAGCTCTAAACAGAAGGACTGGCTAGTGCTTGGAAGCACTACTTTAACCCTCCTCGGAGAGGAGCAGTTGTAGGTATTCATGAAGGCATTGCCCCAGCTTGCCTCTAAACTCTTGCTGGTTTGTAAACTCTGCTGATTAGGGAATACAGAACATGACCATCATCATCATCATCATCGCCACCACAGGCAGGACAGCTGTCCCAGTGCCACCCCAACAGCTTACTTCTTTTGGTGAGAAGTTGTACGACGGGTGCAGAAGACGGCGACTATCACCACAATCACAATGGTGATCACTCCGACGGACACTATGATTACAAGGAGCATGTTGCTGTCCAAGGGAGAGGTTGGGCTTCCATGGGGACTGTTACTGCCTGGAAGAGTTTGAGATGAGAGAAAGGGGTTATTTTTCATGCAGAAAAAATCCTCATCAAAAGCAAGCAGACCCCAACAAAGACTTCTAGAAGCTGTGTGGAGACCCCAGAGCAGCTTTCAGTATCTGAAGGGAGCCTACAAGGATGCCAGAGAGGGACTCTTCATCAGGGACTGCAGTGACAGAACAAGGGGTGATGGGTTCAAACTGAAACAGGGGAAGTTCAGATTAGACACAAGGAAGTTCTTTACTGCGAGGATGGTGAGGCCCTGGAACAGGCTGCCCAAAGAAGCGGTGAATGCCCCATCCCTGGCAGTGTTCGAGGCCAAGGTGGATGGTGCTTGGAGCAACCTGCTCTAGTGGAAGGTGCCCCTGCATGTGGTAGAGGGCTGGAACTGGATGCTCTTGAGGCCTTTTCCAATCCAAACCATTCTGTGATTCTATGCTCAGAAATCCCTAGAACTGGTATTGGTGTTCCACAGTGGGCACCCTCCTCTGAAGGACTCGCATTTCATGTCGCGCTAACAAGCAATACCTTAGGGCAAGGCTTCCACAGTGCAGAGTGCTGATCAGGAGAAGGATTAAGATGACTTTTTAAACTTCCTACTATGTTCTTCCTGAATTAATTTTACACTTGTGCGCTCCAGCAGCTATTTAAAACCAAACTGGGAACACGATCTGCTTATCGTGCTTCAGACTGAAATGTAAATGCAAGCAATGATATATTTTTCCATCTACCCCACACAGCAGGCGAGAGCACTACGACAGAAGTAGGAAATGATGTCTTGAGTGGGAACAACTATCATCATAGAGAGAAAAAGTTCCTCAAACAGATGTAATGAGTACCTTCAGGAGGATATGGCATCACTTGGTGAAACACCAGAAGACACTGTGTTTAGACTGAAGAACAGCACTTACCACCCAGCGGCGGTTTGTAATCTGCTCCTATGTCCACGGGGCGGCTTCCTTTCCCTGCAGACCCTGAAGCTGAAAAGGGGATGCAGGGGGTAATTGTATATACATATATATCCACACCCACACGCATAAACACACACTGGAGCATCTCTAAGGTAGCTCTTCTCAAACTTCCTCCTTTTCCCTTCCCTACAGCAGGATTTGCCTTGGAGCAGCAGCTGTGCTTCTCCCTGAGAACCACTTCTTCAAAAGAGCTATTTAATAACCAGTTTCCCACATTACTATTTTCCCAAGTAAGCTCAGGAGCCTCTCCCGTTACTCATTTTTAAAACATAATATTATGTGCAGTAATACACAGGTTATATTGAGGCAAATGGCTTTGCCACACTTGCACAGTTAATTATCTCAAAGCAGTAATTACATGGTTTTTTTTCCCCAATACCTAATTACAGACAGTGTGGAAGACTGGAAATAAATGGAGGATCAAAACCAGGGGAAATCCATAAAAACCTGCTTTCAGCTTCTCCTCATTCTCTTCTGCTCATGTCACCTTCACCACAAGTGACAATGAGGCATCACAAAATGGGTTTTGGGGAAACCTGGGAGAACAAATCTGTTTCTAAGCTTTAAGTTTAAAGGCTGATGCTGGAAGCAAGCCCATCTGCACCTCAATAATTACAAACTAAGGCAAATTACACAGCCCCTCCTGAACCCTGGCTACTGCTCGTGGGCTCCTCGGTGCTCAGTGCAAGAGCTGACCTCCCTGCTGAGCTGCTGTCCTCTTGGTACTCTACCAGGTATTCTCCCTGCATGATTCAGCTCTAACTTAGATCACTTGCTGCTGCAAGTCATGAAGTCATGAGTTTGCCTCTAGTGTTAAGTTAGCAGAAAGCTGCCTACAGATAAAGATACACAAAGCCCTGGTTCTTCTACTTCTGCATTGTCATTAAACTGCACTAATGCAAAATGACCACGAATGAGGAAAATACTGCAGGAGGGTAAATGTGCAGCAAGATGGAAAGAAGGCATTCCTCTGGTTACAGGAATCCATAATCCTTTAGCCATTTTTACACTGTTGTGCACAAACTGCCCCAAAATCAGCAAATTTGGCACTTTCACAATGAGGAGAAGGAATTCTCTCAGTTAAAAACCCATCCTAGTCAGGAGGTGGTAAAGGACGTGTAACAAATGGAACCTGAAGCCAAAGCCTGTAAACTGCTCCCTGTGAAATAAGAACAGTTGGGAAAACCAGCAAAAGGAACCAGCAAGGACACTGAGCAAGCCCTGGGAAGGGCAGTAGGAAGGAACCCTACAGGGAGGAGTCAGATTTAGTCTACAATAAATGAAGACATACTGCAGGACAAACCTAGACTCAAAAAGACGCACTGCACGTGCCAGCCTGGAGAGGACTCTGCCTGCTCTTCTAGAAGTCCTGGACTAATCATTTTGCAGCAGCAATGCACTAATTCAAGTGAGTTTTAAACAGCTTCTATTGTATGAAAGGATGTGAAAATCAAACAACCCTAGGTGGATTCGCTGAATTGCTGAACCTGGCCCTGAAGATCTCTTGGAGCACCAGAAAAGTGGGAGAAGGGGGAGGGGGCAATAAAAATAACTGACAAAGGACAAACAGATACCCTATGCAATTCTGGTGCAGCAGCTGGAGCCTCAACATAGGCAAGATCATGGCAACGGTGGTTGATCAGAGACGGTGGCACACTTCATGCCCATCTTTCTGTTTTATTAGCACAGGTATTTTCCAACATGAAATGTCAGCCCACGAACGTGGCTGCTAACAGCAGCTATGCTGGCATGCTGTATTTAGACTTCCATAAATCACTTCCCTGAACACCTGGTTAAAAATAGCATCCTAAAAAAAGCCATGTGGCACTAATAACGAGATTAACAACAAATTCACCGATAAGAATAAGAACTGTACGTGCAGAGTCATTATTCACAAGGGATATTTCTCATGAGTACTGCAAGGACCTGTGCTTGGCCAAGGGAATTCATATCCTGATAAATCACTGCTCCTGAAGTTAACAGATGACCTAAGATAACGGAGGAGATAACAAGATACACAGAGTCACCTGCACAGAGCAGCAGGGATCATGTAGTACGCTTGGGTGTAACACACTGACGTGGTGCAGTGTATCATGGGGTCTGCTCTCTCTGAACCATCTATATCCTCACGCAGCCAGCTGCTGCTGTTACAGACCCCCCTATGTGTGAGTATGGGTGACAAAGGACATAAACCATATGGAAATGATAAAAACATGAGAAGGCAGCGATAGGGAGGAAGCAGTGTTCTGCAAACAGCTGTATTTTCAAAGGGTGTTGGGAACAATTACCAGTGGCAGCTCAGGAATGCCTGATGTTGGCGCTGACTGTGTGGTGTCAGCACCTGCACACCTCCAAAATCACAAAGGTAATTAAAGATACAAGTCCAGGATTCAAACTAGGATGAAATTCAGATACCTGGAGTACTGTGTTCAGCTCTGGGACCCCAACATAAGAAGGACATGGAGATGTTGGAGTCCAGAGGAGGCCATGGAGATGCTCAAGGGCTGGAGCAGCTCTGCTCTGGAACCAGGCTGAGAGAGCTGGGCTGGGGCAGCCTGGACAAGAGAAGGCTCCTGAAGGGGAGACCTGAGAGCAGCTCCAGTGCCTAAAGGGGCTGCAGGAAACCTGGAGAGGGGCTTGGGACAAGGGATGTAGGGACAGGACAAGGGCAATGGCTTGAACCTGCCAGAGGGGAGACTGAGATGAGCTCTTAGGCAGAAGCTCTTCCCTGGGAGGGTGCTGAGGCGCTGGCACAGGGTGCCCAGAGAAGCTGTGGCTGCCCCATCCCTGGCAGTGTTCAAGGCCAAGTTGGACACAGGGGCTTGAAGCAAGCTGCTCTGGTGGAAGGGGTCCCTGCCTGTGGCAGGGGTTGGAGCTGGAGGAGCTTTAAGGCCCCTTCAACCCAAACCAGTCTGAGTCTATGATTAGGAACCCGACCAAGATGCTTCTCACTACCTAATTCCTGAAACCAGGGACCAGCAGTTTAGCCTTTAAATTCTGGGGAGCTCAGTACCAGCTCTGGGCTACAGAAGCGTAGGGAGAACAATGTAGCTTAATAAAGAAGAAAAGTAAGGGAGAGAAAAGAAGGAAAACCACTAAGGCCAGAGTCAATCCCACTGCAGCTCTGTTTCTTCCCAGTCTCAAATAACTTGCCTACTGCTTCCTGAAGGACACAATGCTGCAATTCAGCGGTACTGTCACCAAACAGGCTCTTCTCTCCAGCTTGTCTTCTCCTTTTCTACATTTACCCTACCAGGATCTATAATCCATGAGTGCTCTTCTAGGAATTCTGAAACAAAACTCTCATGGCTTTTAGGTAGAGTTTTCTAATCTATAAATGAATCAAGTTGTTACTAGAATATGCTACTTCAGGATGGTAACGATGGATGACAAGCTTTGGTTATCTGCTGAAATAAGGTTAGACTAGTGCAGAATGGAAATAGCAGCTTCTATGTAGGACCTTTTTATCTTCCCCTATTCCCTTCCTCTTGCAGCTGAGCACTGCCAATGACACCATGAGGGTCTCTTCCCCTGAGACACACCTGAATCTCAGCTTGCAGCTCTGTTACACAAGGCTGGATATGAATTTACCCCATTCTGCCCAGTATCAGCATCACGTGGCACACAGAAGGTAAAAGCATATTTAATAAATTACTTCTAAGTAACAAGTTGAAAAGCAAGTGAAAAAACCCCTCATGCTCAACCCCTTTAGGATCTATTGAATTGTGTGTCTGAGTGCTTGCCAATGTCCTTTTAAACTCATCCCTTTAGACTAATTCTTTCCCTTTTGATTGGGCTTGTAGGTTATTTGGAAGAAAGCAGCAACAGCCCCGGGACATCCACCTTATAACTCAATGTCATAAAGTCAAAGCTGCCATTTTTCAAGCTAGGGGTTTAAAACCTGAGGCTTTTAGTAGCTAATGCTGTGCTCTTCAGGAGCGCCTGGAGTTTGAAGGAGCTGACAAGCAGAATCTCTCTTGCAAAAACCCTTCCCAGAGCAGGCATATTGCCTTTGTCTTGACCAGAATTATTGCTGAAGAGCTCAGAAAACCGCACTTGTGGCAATTAGGTGACTGATCTTCCACCTCAATGTACTGAGATCTTGCCTCAGTGGTCAGAGGGCTGTCTGCAGTTTCACTTCACCCAAATTCCCTTCGATAGAATGATTCAGCTCTGGCACAGGCTTGTCCCTTCATGTGACATCTGACCGCAGGGATCACTTTATATCCCTACCACCCCAAACACAAACAGGACTTCCAGCTCTTCCACTATTGAAAGCACAACAGGAACTCGCTCATTTACAGTTAGAGCAGCAGACAGTTGTTTCATTTACAGCAAGCAACAACAGCACATGGACAGGGAAAACAAAACGTGTGAAGGCTGGAATAAAAGAGAGTGTGGTTGTTCATTTACCTTGATCATTAGGCATTTTATCTGAGGATTCAGCTAGTGGGACAAGCACAGGGGAGGAAAAAACAAGAGAAAGATCACAAGGCTTGAAGGAGTGAGAGACAGAAATCAAAGTTGCACATTGCCCAAGCAGACCAGGGGGAGCTCCCATTTCTAACCACCAGTGCTCACATGGTAAAGGTACCCTTCAAGAAATCTACTCCTAACGTTTTATATTTCTCTCTCCTTTGAGTACTTTTTCCCAAGCAATGTGCATGTGTTCCACTTCATTAGTTCTTGATTTAAGAGCTGCTCTATCTCATTATTCCCGCTGTGACATCCAAGTCACCAGCACACAGCTGCACTGCTGGCTCCAACTGGAAAGCCTGCAGCTTTGTACTGCTGGGGCGTGACACACAAGACCCACGACCTTAAAACATCTAAAAACTGCTTTCCTAAAAACCACCTTTAGGACACTATAACTAGGTGAGACCTGAGTGCCCACCAGTAACTGAGAAACACCACAATGAATCAAGCAGCTGAGCAACATTTGCTTATCTATTAACTATATGCAAATAGAAAATTCCATTGAAGTCAAACTCCGTTTGCTCCTCCTGCCTCTTCCAATTTAAACAGGCTCCCAAAGAAGTGGTGAATGTTCCATCCCTGGCAGTGTTCAAGGCCAGGTTGAACAGACTCTTGGGCCGCATGTGTGAGGTGTCCCTGCCCATGGCAGGGGGTCGGATCTGGATGAGCTTTAAGGTCCTTTCCAACCCAAACCACGCTGGGATTCTAGGAGATACAAAATTCACACTACCCTGACCTTACAGGAGTTGCAATCAGGAAAAGCAGAGGAAGATCCCGAGACCTCCGTGGTGATTTACCTTTGGGGGTCCTGAACTGAACTGCCTCAGACATTGGCCCCATGCCCTTGGAGTTGCGGGCCTGAATTTTGAAGTAATAGGGTGTGTCGAGGGTCAGCTCCTGTATCTGATGGGTCAGTCTGTTTCCCACGACGGGTTCGATAACCCAGTCGTGTATTTCAGCGTTCACATCCGTACTGTAGTAAATGATGTATCCTATCGAGAGGGAAAAGCAAAAGGATTTTACACATGAGCGAACAGGACAGTGGTAAGACCTCACAGAACATATTCTATTGACTTCTCATTACACACAGCTAAATGAGGATGGGATTTCTCTTACTTTTTCAGAGACTAAGAATGCATTCAAGTCTTAGCCAGCCAGCCCAGCTTAAGTTTTAAACCATTCATAAGTTTGGGTTAAGAGGAAAAAAGCCACTGAAAAGTCAAAATTCCTTCTGACCCCTGTTCACTGGATTTGGAGAAATTCTTCCTTTCCATCTCTTTGCCTGCTCATAGACCAAATAACGTAAAATAACATAAAGCTGTTATTAAAGCATCCTCAAAGTATTAATATTTATAAAACCAGTTAACGTTAAAACAACAAAAGATTCTCATGCACAGCTGAAGAGCATGTGCTCAATGGTTTATAATGGGTTTATTTTTCAGGGTCTAAATAAAGGTGATGATCAGAAGAGAACTGAAGTTATGCGCATGTCACAGGCATGGAAAAGGTATGAGCTTTGTTACTGAATACGCTGCAATTACAAACCGCTATGAAGTAAAAGCTTTGTAACTTTTCTAATATAGGAAACACAGAGCCCCAGCATAAAATGAACACTTGCACCACTACAGGGCTGGGTCTCCAGCTGCTTCTTTGTCCCACACACTGCCAGGCTGGGGTTATAGTAAGGAGAAGGCTTAATGCTTGCAACTTGTCCAGGTCACAAAGCAACATACCTGTAACTAGGCCAAGAAGGGGCAATATTTTATATATATATATTTATTTTTATACATATATATATACACATAGAGATATACATACACACACGCAGATATCTATAGTGACAGTTAAAAGCACCATATATAGTATAGTGGCACAAGAATATTGACTTAAATTGTGACTGTACCAATTTGTCAGCAACTATAACAATGCACAAGCATCTGGAACCCAGACTAGCACAGTTCAGCATTTCACATCCATTCCATACACATCAAATGGAGGTCAGAGCTGAAAAAAGACAAGCATTCCACAGACATGCTCTCCAGGGCAGGGAATCCCATCATCACTTTGTTTTTATGGTGGTGTTTAGTGGACAGAAAGGACTAAGCTGAGTTAATGACTGACTGCAGCCCAGAACCACCCCCGTGTGCTGGGCTGCACCCCCAGAGCATGAGCAGCAGCTCAGGAAGGGGATTCTCCCCCTGCTGTGCTCTGGGGAGACCCCCCCTGCAGTCCTGATCCGACTCTGGGGCAGCAGCACAAGAGGGACGTGGAGCTGTTGGAGCGAGTGCAGAGGAGGCCATGGAGATGCTGCGAGGGCTGGAGCAGCTCTGCTCTGGAGCCAGGCTGAGAGAGCTGGGCTGGGGCAGCCTGGACAAGAGAAGGCTCCTGAAGGGGAGACCTGAGAGCAGCTCCAGTGCCTTGAAGGGGCTGCAGGAAACCTGGAGAGGGGCTTGGGACAAGGGCCTGTAGGGACAGGCCAAGGGGAATGGCTTGAACCTGCCAGAGGGGAGACTGAGATGAGCTCTTAGGCAGAAGCTCTTCCCTGTGAGGGTGCTGAGGCGCTGGCACAGGGTGCCCAGAGAAGCTGTGGCTGCCCCATCCCTGGCAGTGTTCAAGGCCAGGTTGGACACAGGGGCTTGGAGCAAGCTGCTCTAGTGGAAGGGGTCCCTGCCTGTGGCAGGGGTTGGAACTGGATGATCTTGAGGTCCTTTCCAACCCAAACTATTCTATGATTCTGTGAGGAGCTGCCTCTCTCACTGCAGGGGCTCTTCCCACCAGAGGGCACCCAGCGCACACACACATCCCTGCCAAATGCCTTGTTCTGGTAAACTGAATCTCCTATTTGGGAGACTCCGACTCACCACAGAATGATGTATTTTTTAGCTGTAAACTGCTACTTACGCAAAACCTAATAAATACTCTATGAATAAAGGTCAGGTTCTGTTTCACAGAATAGAAATTGCAAGGAGATGTTTCAGGAACATATACAGGCTGGGGCTATTTGTGCCTATTGTTTCCCACCCCTACTGACCACTAGCAGCCAAGCCCTTTAACCTGTAGTTATGATAAAGGCTCTTGTTTCTCCAGTCAAAGCTTCTTTCCTATATAGAGGAAAAACATCTTGCTGATAATAACACAGAACTGGCTTTGTAACCAAGGGTTAAGTCTCCAGTGTTCTGCCTTTTCAGAGAGATCCAACTGGCTTGAGTGTCCTGTCTGGAACCTTACCCGATCTCGGGTGGTGACAGCTTCCAAAGGTTTGATTCCGAGAACAAAAGCAAAACCCCACACTGCAAACTCTGCACCACTAAAGGTGCTTCAAGCATAAAGTCTGGGGTAAAAGCAAACAGCAAATGGAAGTGAACTATTTCGGGAAGCCTTTAGAAATGGGATTCCAGGCAGAAACCACCAAAGGGAAACAGTAATATTTTCTGTAAAATGATTTCTCCTACGTAGAAGTGATGTAGTTACTGAGACAAGTAACAGTTTACTCCTAATGGTTTTGTCAAGGGACTAATAACTGACTTTAAGTCTGTTCCACACCACAAAGATGACACAAAGGTAGCAATAAGCACTGGGGTGGATTCTCCTAAATAAATTTCTGAGGGGCCAGAGGCATTACCCCCACGGCAGGGGGTTGGAACTAGATGATCTTAAGGTCCTTTCCAACCTTAACGATGCTATGATTCTATTCTATGATTTCTGGAGGCATGCCTTTAGAGGAGCACAAGCTGATGGAGACAAAGGTTATTAAGATATTTAAACTTCCAATTCTCTATCTGGTTACCTCCAATTTCACACTGCTGTTACTTTCTATCTTAATATATTTTGACTGGGTACAAAAGTAAATGATTAATCCGAACAACTAAAGAGACTGACAAAGGTAAACACCTCTTGGTTCGCTCTATGAACATGCTCACATGGTTATGCACGTTATATTCTGCTGCTAACCAGCATCGTGTATAGACTTCATTGCTCATGCAAACTGCACCTGTGATTTTGCCGTTGGCTTCCGATGGAGGCTGCCAGTTGACAATTATTGTCCGAGGTTTCCCCTCTTTGCTCACCACAGTCACATCTTTGGGAGGAGAAGTGGGAACTGCAAGCAAGCAGACAGACTCGTGTCACTGGACAGATAAAGTAACCTCGGAGACATCTGTCTTTGTTTTACCGTTGAAAAAGGCACATACAACAGTAAAATCTCAGAACATTCCATCTTCAAATAAATCCACCACTGTGTGTAGTGGTCTTACCGATTTACTCCATTCAACCAGCAAATGCCACCTGGTGTGCAGCATCTCCTTTCCAGGAGGAGGTATCTGCTTCTGAAGAGCCAGATGATCTTCAAGGTCCCTTCCAACCCAAACTATTCTATGGTTCTGCCAACAGATACCGTGATTCACAACTGAGTAAGCCCATGTCTCCAAAACCACAGCATCACTGTACAGTTCTAACGGCTGGGGTCAATGACTTCCAACTGAATTTCTTCAGACACCATAAAAATGACACAGATGTGTGAAATAAGTATGCTTTATATGAAATACCTCCATATTTTCAGGTTTATGGTGGGACTGAGTAATGCCAATTTGCCACTTAAAACTGAACCGGCGAAGGAAGCCCACCTGAGATTTAGAACCATAATCCATAGTTGCTGATTGACTTTAGCAAGGAATTCAGTGTAATTTGCAAGGGAATCTGCCTCACCATTTGAAATCCAGAACTATCTGTGGAGCACACCTGTCCAACCCTCTTCCTTGGGCTGCCAGAGAGCAAGACTGAGAGAAAGAAAGAAGAAGAACGTGCTCCCTTCTCCCATCAGCCTCCTCCTGCCTCACACTGAGGAAATGGCACAGGTTGCTGCAGCGCCGGCCTGAAATGTGAGTCCTTGCTTGCTGTGAACTGAGATTTCCAGCTGGGACTCAGATTAATGCATCTGGCTGCACAGAGCCAGCATCTCCAAAGGTGCATTGACCAGGCCAGGCTCTGCACAGCCACATCGTGGAAAACAGGAGACTTCTAATTAGGTAACTTCTAGCAAAGTAAATCCGCTGTGGATATTTAACACTGTAACAGTAACATGTAGTGCTTCCAGGGCTTTCTGCATTTCAAGAGCTTTAGGGATATTACCCATTAGAAATTAATCTGTACATCCTCTGAGATGGCTGCCTACTAACCCTGTGCACAGAGCAGGGGGAATCCAGGGGTAGCAAAAGCTCAACAGTTACTGTACCTATTATCCCAGACTCTTACAAACACACTCAACAAACATATGGCCGTAAGGCACAACTCCAGGCCCTACAGTAAACTTGAGACTAAAACAAACCCCAGGACTAGCCTACAGGAGATTTCTAACCCACAGACCAGCACTGAACCCAGTATCCTGGGTTTTCCTTCGGCAGGAGCTGAGGTGCAAGTCCTACACAACGCTGCTACTCAGGGGTATCCAAAACCATCAGTCACACACTATGGAATTTGTGAGTGATATAAATCACAAGATCCATTATGAAAAAAGACATTTAGCCTTCTGGGGGTTATTTGTTTCTTGGCTTCCAAGCTTTAGGTCACATTTGCAGATATCCTTTACAACCATCCCGCATTAACTTTCTATTCAGATGAAGTGAGGTCTCCTGTATCTCACCCTCCCTCTGCAGATTTCCGAGTTTCAAATGCTGCTTCAAGAACTTCGTTCCTGCAACTTTTTCTATCCCCCATGTAGTTATGGATGAGGATTGTGTGCGTGTCACCAAATAACCTGGGATGGCCACAGTCATTGGAATGGGAAAGGAGCTTCAGTCCAGATCTGCCTCCACATCATGGACTTCCCACCAAAAATGAAGACAATGTTTTCAAAAGCAACTGAAGCCCACTAAAGCTTTATGGGGCTTCAGAATAAGTTAGATTTCTGCTTATAACCTGCTCTTACTTTTTCTTATGCCTTGCTATAGAGTTATTTGGATCATCTCAACTAATTCTTTGTGTGCCTGATTTCTTTTTGCTGTATTTTATTTAGTGTAAGAACTACAGGCTAAGTGGGACAGGCTCTTTCTTAATCCTTACAGTTCATATCAAGAGAAACCTAAGCATAATAAGCAGTCAATTTAATTGCACAAAGATCATGTAACACTGCAGGATAAAAAGAGCTAATGAGGGACAGGTCAGGTGCACAGGTCCCGCACCTCCCCGGTACTCAGCAGACACAAGTTCATCCTGGCATCTATAAACCCCTTTCTGTTCTGTACCCCGAGCTTCCAGCATTTCTGTGGCACTGAGGACTGCACTGGCAATGCCTCCAAGGCACAAGAATTTAGGGTTGATTTGGATGTCTTAACTTCTACTGGGATTTCTGTTAGCTCACTTGCCTCGTGCGCCCCCTCTGTAATTCTATCAGCACAATGACAGGTTTTAATTATTATTTGCTGATTGTGTGCAGTTCTGGTGTCCTCAACATAAAAAGAACATGGAACTGTTGGAACAAGTCCAGAGGAGACCACGAGGATAATAAGGGGCTGGAGCACCTCCCATATGGAGACAGGCTGAGAACATTGGGGCTGTTCAGCCTGGAGAAGAGAAGGCAGCATGGAGACCTCATAGCAGCCTTCCAGTATCTGAAGGGGGGCTATAGGGATGCTGGGGATGGACTCTTCATTAGGGACTGTAGTGACAGGACAAGGGGTAACGGGTTCAAACTTAAACAGGGGAAGTTTAGATTGGATATAAGGCAGAAGTTCTTTCCTGTTAGGGTGGTGAGGCACTGGAATGGGTTGCCCAGGGAGGTTGTGAATGCTCCATCCCTGGCAGTGTTCAAGACCAGGTTGGACAGAGCCTTGGGTGAGATGGTTTAGTGTGAGGTGTCCCTGCCCATGGCAGGGGGGTTGGAACTTGATGATCTTAAGGTCCTTTCCAACCCTAACTATTCTATGATTCTATGTATTTTCTTTGTATTTGTATTAACGTGCTCTGATATGCTCCAAGTATACACTTCTTTCTTCTCTCCTGCCCACGAACTGTGGTACATTATTCATTACTCCTCTGTAATTTGCTGTAAATTCTTTTGCATGCAATCACCCCTTTGAAATCTGAAGTGTGTTGTTGTTGATTTTAATCAGTTTCTAAGCTATAAAGATAAGAACCTCCCAGCAAGTATTCATCAGCATAATCATTTTAAACACATGCTTTCCCTCTCCCAGAACTGTGGCATACTCCGTTCATCTCACTGGGACTGCTGGCCCTTCCAGGGAGAGAGGAGGAGTACCTAATTCAAAAGTCGTTCCATGCGCCGTCATACTCCAAGTACTCGATCTTCGCCCTTTAGTCACCATCACGGAGAATTCATACAAGGTGTTTGGTTTCAACCCAGTCACTAAGTAGCTCAAAGTGGTGGCGTTGGCAGTCTGAAAGGGAAACAGAGTCAGTAACTTCTGAAAGCATCAGTCGCTGGCTCCCAAACGCCCTTGGCTTAGGTAAGTGCTTAAAGCATTTTCATAACCAGTCATTAAATCTGTAATGGTTTTGCTCTGCCATGAAAATTCATTCATCAAGAATTAAAGCGCAGTTGTTTCATCCTCAACTAGAAATGCTTTCTGCAATCAGCAAGAGCATTTAACAGCAGTCAATTAGAAATTAAAGGGGAAGAAAAAAGGCAAGACGAGGTCTTGGACACACTTGTGTGTGCAGGGTAAGTCACTGTGATTAGGGGGGTTCATTTACAGCAGTTCATTAACTGATCTGGCGAGGGAAAGCACTGAAGCCCAGCTAACAGTAACAGTCCTGCTTGAAATCTCTGCCTTCCACATTCCTGCTACAACTTCCAGTCAATTTTTAACACACGTGAAAACCAAAGGTACAACCCCACCTGAAGGTACAAGGAAGGACAAGCTCAAAGGAGAAATCTTCTCTACTTAAGATTTTAAAACCATCAATCCTAAGATTTTTAAAGAAATATTAAAGGTCTTTCTCAACTTAGTTGATTCTGTGACTCCTACACTTTCCATTAGGAGCTGATGCACCCCGATGAACAATAGCACACCAGTTCTTCCCCTCCACAATCCCTAGGGAAATGCCTAACCACACTTAAGCACTCGATTCTGTTTGTACCACTTGTCTGCTCGTAGTTGCAGTCCTTTTTACAGGCTCAAATTGTGGTTTTAATCTACACCATTGAAACTAGGTGGTGTTCCCTGCACATCACATTGAACGGCAGTGACACACGAAAGGCTGAACTGGAGCAGGAGACTTTCCTGCTTTCTTCGTTTTTCAACCCCACTTACTGTTGTTAAGCTCACAACTGTCCCATGGTACTGAACACTGCTCACCTACTAGAGAATAAACTTCATAAATATTACCTTGTAAAGTTTATTTTCCTTTTATACAGTCCTAAAGATCCGAGTTAAGATTTAATACTTCAGCTTACACTGGAGTGCACACCAATACATCCTGGGTAGCCTGTGAGTAGGACAACCCTGACCACCAACAAAGACGCCTGACACTGTTCAAAGCACAGCAGAGTTTACTAGCTTCAGGAACTGCATCACGTCTGTTCCTGGGTTTATGTGCTCTAGACTGACACTGCTCCTACACAAATTTAAGGAAAGAAGGCTCTGTAAAAGCAGAACCTCTTAACTTGTGTTTGAAGTCATTACTTTTCCTCAGTGAGTTTGCAACTGTGCAGAAGTGGGGAGTAAACGTAGGAAACATGAATGAACTATACTTACTGACAAGAGGGATGGATGAAACGACTTTATGTTGAGCTGATGTAGCACTGGATACCAGAGAACTGACACCAGCATACAACTGCTGTGTGCAAGGTGGTGGATCAGAGGAGCTCCGATGCAACAGGCCAACAGCCCCCAGGCATGCAAGAAACAGGAAGGCTGCGAGAGCTGGCTGCAACAAGCAGTACACTAGCTCACACTTCATAAAGTTACCCAAGACCTGACTGAAATGCAGCAGCTGATGGAGCAACGCTGCTGAAAAAGGTTTTGCCTTTCTTAAAAGTAACCACCACTGTCCACCAGAAGCTTCATTTGCTTCATTTACTTCATTTACCACAGGGTGGGATTTCCTAGCATTTAACTAATGAAACTGCAGTATTGTATAAACCACTCCTGAGACATCCCCTCCACAGGACACGGGAATGAGGGCTCAAATAACTTGCCTTTAGAGGGAGAACACAGATATACACAGCTTTTCATTTCCATTAAAAAACCCTGGTTTGTACCAAGATTGCTCTGTGAGAGCATAAAGGGAGCTCCACTGGCTGAAGGTTTTAACAACCATTTCCTTTGAGTCTCATTTCTAATGTGAAATCTGAAGTCAGCAGTTTTGAGGCCTCCTGAGAACTCTGAAACCTAAAAAACGATCCAACCAACTGACTGAAGAAAATGCAAAGCCATAAAGCAAGCCCCAACTCTGCTTTTCAAATCAGAACACCAGATGAAAATCAAGGGAGGCAGGGCCCTCATGAAGTTACTGTCACAGACGTCGTACCCATGCAGTTCACTGTCAGCTTTGTATGAACAGGAAAGGTTGCAAAAGGAAACGTAAAGACACCCTGCATGACTCTCCCCTGGAACTCAGATCTGTTACCTGGAGAGAAGCCACTGGTAACATGTTCCTTACTAATGTGTTACTGGCTCCTCTAAAGGTAAGTCCCCATTTACGGATGTGATCACAACTGGGTGAAGCAGAAAGTATGAAACTGTCACTGTTTCCATGGTTCCACAGCAGAAAGTAACCATGGAAACATTCACCTTTGCTCCCATGGTGGCCCTTCCACTCACACCAACACCCCACACATGCAAAAGCGAACACAAAACCAACTCCTTCCACTAAGTCTAGATGAATCTTTGAAGCAATGATTTAACTGAGCAGAACTGCTGTGAACCAGAGAAGCTGTGGCTGCCCCATTCCTGGCAGTGCTCAAGGCCAGGCTGGACACAGGGGCTTGGAGCAAGCTGCTCTAGTGGAAGGTGTCCCTGCCCGTGGCAGGGATTGGAGTTGGATGAGCTTTAAGGTCCCTTCCAACCCAAACCAGGCTGGGATTCTGTGAACTCGGTTCAGACATCTCAAATAAAACTGAGCCCACCTCTACACCACTTCCTCAGCCCTTGTCTTTCTTTACTCTGCTTCACTTAACCCTGCCTCAAACACGAAACTGCTTGTTACTGACTGAAGGCAGCTGTGTTAGTGCTGGGGAAGCTCCGATACCTTGTACTTGGTATTAGCAGGAATATTGGTTTTCCAGCGCACTGTGTAGTAGCGAGCATCTGTGATCTTCTGGTTCTTCGGCAGAGAGTTGTCTGCCCAAGTGATCCGTATGGTGTCATGGCTCAGGATGGAAGCCTGAACTCCCACTGGTGGCATCATGGGAGACGGATCTGGCACTGGAGTGTATGGAGCATTAATAACAAACAAATCAACCTCGGAAGTGTCTAGGGAATTGATGGGTAAAAAGTAGTGTATTATAATTAAAAAGGGAGAAGGTGGCATTTTAATGTAAAACAAAACAAAAAGGGGAAATGCAGGGTTGTGCAATGAAATGAAAGGTGAGAAATGGAGAAAAAGAGAGAAAAGCCAGAGTTAATAAATAGGTGACATAAGACAGGCTAATAAAATTACTCTTGCATCGTGTTCCCTTCTTAAGACAGTCAGACAACATATATATGCTAAGATATATACACACCTAACATATTAGTGTTCAGTGCATTCACCCATGGCCTAAGAACCCCCAACATGCAGTAATTTGAACTATATTTGACTGAATGTCCATTGATCCCTCCCCTTCAGAAAACCATGAGGAAAAAGAGCTGAACTCCTAGCTGGGTAACTACCACTTCATAAAAATGAAGGGGAACTCCCAGCACCTTTTACAGACTCTTGATGGTGCTCAAGTTTCCAACGTCACACAGACCTGCAGTAACTGCAAATCTTCATAACTGACAAGGATTCCAGCTACACAGAGTGACTGTGTGACACTGAGAGTCTAACAGGGAGCACACTGAGCTACAGCAATGTAGTAGCTTGCTTGCAAACCAATTTCTCTGCTTAAAATCTTTTATTAATGTATTACAAGAAACACATATGCCAGGAACTTGCTTAGTGTAAGTGACAAGACACTGAGACTTAGAGGAAGAAAATGCAGGCATCACATTCAAAACCTCAGTGTAAAAGACCCTCAAAAATCTATACTTGTCTATACTATAAAACACAAAACAAGGGCCTTCAGAACTGCACCCACAGGATGTGTGCCGAGGTAATGGTGGTGAGGTGCTGGCACAGGCTGCACAGAGAACCAGGCTGGGATTAGCACTTGAAAGGTAAGTGCTGTAACGTACAAATGATACCAATCTGAGGTGGCTCCATGAATGGAGGACGTGTGAACGCAACCACCACAACAGCAAGGCCACTCGGTCACACACCAGCACCACGAGCTCAGCCTCGTGCAGTTCATGGAGGAGTTTGGCTGTGCAAGACACTGAGAGCAGCCACTCGCCCTTACCCGAGTGAGGCCTGGTCACCGCGCTCTCGTAGAGAGGGATCCCTTCCCCAACGTTGTTAAAGGCTTTCAGGGTTATGACATAGTGGGAGCTTGGGTCTAAAGGGAAAGAACAAACGCCTTAAGTCAAGCTCACATTGAATCCCGTTTTCTCCTTCTCTTTGTTCAGTATTTTATGACAGGAATACATGAAATCCTTAGGCTGAATTTCCACATAGACTTTCTGTTAGTGCTCCAAAGTTCTCCTACAGCACAGGTCTGCAGTCTCAGCAAACCTTCCTCAAGCACAGTCAAAACAACAGTGAGGAAAAACATCTTTAATGACTGTTTTAAGTTGCTCTATGATAAAATCACTCAAAACTCCTCTTTCATAGAACTTCCCATAGTTTGTGACACTGTTTATTTTGCTTTCAGGATATTTTACCTAACACAGAGAATTCTCTGGAGGATTGAATCTCCAGTTTTCTTTCCACGTAGATGCCACTGTATCTTGGTGACATTTGAGTTTCTTTTTTGCCTCAGGCCACCTGTTCTGCAGCTCCAGAAGGAGAACCAGGGAACGCTGCTCAGCATGGAAGCGTTTTAATAAGTGTTGAAAAGAAAGCACCACATCAAAACGCACTGTGCTTCAAACTCAGTGGATGTAGGGTTCTGGGGTTGGGGGGGGGAAGGGCTATTCCTCTGCCTCTTTATCATCAGAAAATAGAGTTTATTTCAAATTTATCCACAGTGTGGCATCCACTGCAATAGCTCAATAAGGAACAAGATCGCCTTAAGAACACACATGCAGTATTAGTTATTTCTAACTCCATAATTAGAGAACTGTGGCAGCACTGAGAGGTAAAACCTGGGCACGAGTGTTGATTCTCTCCCCATACCTAGGTTTTCGATGGTGTAGTATCTCTGTTTGTAGTCCACCTTGATGGTCTGGGCGTGAGGGCTGCCGATGCCATACCCGATCGCATAGCCTCTCACCACGATATTCTGGTTTTCAGGAGGAGTCCAGCTCACGACAATGCTGGTGACAAGGGGACGGACGTGCAGGGAGCTGGGAACTTCAGGAACGCGGGTTTCTGTTAAAGAAAAATGATGGACTGAAAGGATTCCTAAATAAAGGTAATTACATAAAGACCTATGAGCTAGGAAGGTCAAACGAAGCACTTTACTCTGTGTCTGTACTGAAATGAATACGCTCCAAAGGAGGAGCGTCGTTGTGCAAGAGAGAGCAAAGACCTCTAATAAGCAGAAGAAAATTAACACAGATTTGTAGACTAGTACATTTTAATAGACCCTCTGTTTAAAAGAAAGGGCAGTTGTACTGAAGGGAAGCATCAGATCTGCGTCAAGGCAGATGTTCTGATGTTTGTGCATGTTCTAGTTTGTCATTCCTCAAACAGCCATGAAATTTATCACGTCCTTCCCCTCCAATCTACTTCCAGCTCCATCACATCACTTACCTGAGGGCATTACAATAATTACACTGAAAACAACCTAATGATGAAAGCAACACTCCTGGCCTTCAAAAAACTACTCCAAAGCTCTAAGAATTGTCCATAAACCACTGCTGCATGTGCTACAAAGGTTTCTTCTGGTCTGTCCTACACTTGTCACTGTTTAAATCCTTGGGCCTCTTTAACATAATTCACAAACTATAATGCACCTGTACCACACGCAACACAAATCCCCTCACAATCCACCAGAGCATTGGGACGGGGATCCCCGGCAGAAGAACTTCCACAACACGGCACTGAAATCCCCAAGTATTTTTACTGGATGGTGTTTTCCCCACTGCCGAGTAGAACTTCAGAGCAATCTAAAAGCACGGCTGCACCTACTGCTGTCCAAGCCCTTGTTTTATCATCCCCCAAATGAAGTAAGAGCTTTTGTCAGGCCACTGGAGCCTGCTGTATGTCGGCAGATGATAAATAATTCTGTGCAAGTAGAAGGCAAGTTCCCTGCTCTAAACCAGCACCAGTTCCGAGGGCTGTGCTTCCTGCAGGGATTTCATTTTAATGAAACATGCAGCGGTTCTCTAAAAGCATTTAATAAAGCACCACGACAGGAGGATTATTTGGATCATAATATGCCACTGGCCTGCTTGCCCAGGGAGTTTACAGTCTCCAGCTGACACCGCTGATCAATTGAGGTTCACAACTATTAACTACAGAAAAGCTACAGCACTGCAATACGGGAGGGGACATTTTTAACTGCACACGAGTTAGTGCACAGGGGAGAGACTCTGCACAACTGTTCAACACCTCTGGCATATGGGCTCCTCGGGGGCCTTGCACCAACTGCAAAACGACACGGCCCCCCTAAAACTAAACTGTAAGAGTCTGGCTCCCATTTCCATTGATGACACCAGAAAGTGAATTAGTTTCTATTTAAATTCAATGGAATAAAAGGGACTTAAGCCTCACATGTCCAGTAAGCCTGAGAAATTAAAGCTTGGTTGTAAACAGATTTGCATGGTCCTGAAATTATCCACATGAGCTTAGTAAAGAGAGAAAAATAAAAAGTACCATAGAATCCAGCCTGGTTTGGGTTGGAAGGGACCTTAAAGCTCATTCAGCTCCAACCCCTGTCACGGGCAGGGACCCCTTCCACTAGAGCAGCTTGCTCCAAGCCCCTGTGTCCAACCTGGCCTTGAACACTGCCAGGGATGGGGCAGCCACAGCTTCTCTGGGCACCCTGTGCCAGCGCCTCAGCACCCTCCCAGGGAAGAGCTTCTGCCTAAGAGCTCATCTCAGTCTCCCCTCTGGCAGGTTAAAGCCATTCCCCTTGGCCTGTCCCTACATCCCTTGTCCCAAGCCCCTCTCCAGGTTTCCTGCAGCCCCTTCAGGCACTGGAGCTGCTCTCAGGTCTCCCCTTCAGGAGCCTTCTCTTGTCCAGGCTGCCCCAGCCCAGCTCTCTCAGCCTGGCTCCATAGGAGCATGGACACCTTTTTTCCAGCATGCACAGATAGAAAGATCTCATGCATGTATACAGAATCATATGGACACCGTGTTATGTTGTAACATTAATTGTGAAGTTTTTATTACTTAATTCATTGAAAAGAATATGCATAAAGAAAGTGAGAATTCCTTAATTTCAACATTCCCACTGGACAAAAATGAAAATGGCAAAGCCCACACAGAATGAAAAGGTTCTTTCCTTTTCCCTCCTACTGTCCTGATTAAATTTAGTCCTGATGCTATCCTCTGGCAAAGTACAATGAACTCTGCTTCAAAAGCAGAGCACACTTTCAGTACCATGTGTAAGTGCTGCCTATGTGCAGAGCTCTGCTGAGGTTTGGGGAATGAGCGGGTTCTCATTCTGCAAGGTTGTGTCACAGCCAGTTAGAGGAAGACAGACACAGATGAAAGGGATTTCAACTCCAAAAAGGCATTTAAAATAACTACAAAACACAACTCTACCCTGAACACTGGGCTTTGCACTGCTCTTGATGAGGAAGTGAAGAGTAAGCAGCAAGAGGATGAGTATTAAGTCAAGCATCAACTTTGCATTAACACAAAGATTGAAGCCCCGGCTCTCAAGAGCTTTCATCAGCTGACTGTCGAGGCAACCTTCCAACAGCACAGAGCAAATACTGGAGCTCTTTCACTATTCTGTCTTCCAGCTGCCAGCAGAACTGAATCTCAAGCCACACAGATGTGAAAGACATCACGGGGCCCTGCAGCTACTTTAACAAAGCCAAGAGGGAAACTGGCCTACAAAAAAGCGCAAGCTAACTTGCGTGCAGGAGCACTAATTAAATGCTTTTCTGAAATGGGAACAGTCTAACCAGGATCAGCAGCGCCATGGAGGCAGCTCCAACGAGATTCGCCTCATCCTTTTTAAAATAACCACTTTTCTTCCATTTTAATTGCTCTGAGATTCCTGGGAGATGCTCACAGATCGGAATTCTGTATGCCACACCTGGATCTCAATTCTGCAAGAAGCAGGTTCCCACCTTTGAACTGTTCTGGTGTAGTAAATAACCAACATCTGGTCCAGCTATCAAGGGTCAACAGTTTTCACAGAACATTCTCTACTTTTAAAAACCCTATGTGTGGAAAACAAGATGTTAACGTGGTTCTGTGCACTGCATATCATGAAGCAGTGGAAGAGACTTGACCTCTGATGGAAGATAAAGGTCCGTCCTAGTCTACTGCTACCAGTACTGGAGCAATAACAAAAGCAACAATTCTTGTGGGGCAAATGTTCTCTTTAGAAAGAGTCTCAGCAAAACTAGAAGCCCAGGAAAAGCATTCTAAGGAAGCGTGGTACCAATGATGGGGAGTTTGCAAAGGTCTAGGGCTGAAGACAGTGCTTTCTGCTCTTTCTTTGCTCCTGTGTCAAATCTGATACAGTCTACAAGCAACCCAAGTCTGTACCCACACTGCAGCCAAAAGCACTGCACCTCATCAGCAACCACATCATGCCTTCCAACAGCCAATTCATTCATTAGGGACTGCAGTGATAGGACAAGGAGTAACAGGTTCAAACTTAAACAGGGGAAGTTTAGATTGAATACAAGGCAGAAGTTCTTTACTGTTAGGGTGCTGAGGCACTGGAATGGGTTGCCCAGGGAGGTTGTGAATGCTCCATCCCTGGTAGCGTTCAAGGCCACGTTGGACAGAGTCTTGGGTGACATGGTTTAGTGTGAGGTGTCCCTGCCCATGGCAGGGGGTTGGAACTGGATGATCTTAAGGTCCTTTCCAACCCAAACCGTTCTATGATTTTATGATTAAATCTCCACTCCCAGCAATTTGGTGTACACTTCCATGGTTTCATCAGCCTCACTGGAGGGCTATGTAAATACATCTTCAGTGTTTTACTTCGCAAGAGGAAAAGAGTCCTCCAGTTTCAGTTTCATAGCATACAAATCCCTGCATATTAACATGATGAATTTTATTACAGTATAAAATTTGGGCCATTATGATTGTTATTAGTATAATATGAACCTTACTTTGTATTATTATTTAAATATTGAATCACATCACTGACACTGTCATTCATAATCAGGTATTTCTTAGCAGAAAAATCTTAGTGCCCTTATACAGTTCTACAGGAAGTGTAGAAGCAGAGCTTAATTTCAAGCTATTGTATGGACTCTGCAAGAATTTTGTGTTAGAATAGAAATTAATTTCAGTTAATCATAAATAAAGCACATCGTACAATTAGAATATAGAAAAACCAACTGAAAACAATCAGTTTGCCTTCAACAATGACAATCAAACTTGAAAAAGGCAATAAAATTCATGTCCTGCCCATGAATTCTAACGGTTTTGATGTCACAAATATGGGTACACTCCTGATCTTACCATCCAGATCACTCTCAAATGTTTCTGCTGACACCCAGTCGGTCGCTGGTCCGGTACCATTGACAGTCAGGGCAGCTACTCGGAAGCTGTATTCTGTGCCTCGTTCAAGACCTTAGAGACAAAGAGTACCCAAGATAGCAAACCAGGGATTCCAACTGCCTTCCACCCCACTGGTGCCACTGGAGCATAACAGGAGGTCAAGAATGGAAATGGTAGTACCCACACCCCAGCTTTGACCACAGGGTGTAAGAGCTGAACTGGAGACCCCCAGGGTTGTGACACTGGAAAAGCCTGTGAGGTACTGTTTGCATCTGGCTTTAATTCCTCCCAATTAGTTAAAGTACAGAACCACCCACTCCATAACTAAACCCAGGTGAAGAGTATAAACTATGCAGACAGTTTGTTTCCTGTATGGAAGAGTGTATAGTCAATAATGAAAGCAGTATGAAAATGCACTTAGAATTTGATATATGGAACATCTTCAACAGGCTTTGCTGCTGGCAAAAATACACTCTAGTTACAAGCACAGATCAACTGCTGCTGTGTGAGAAAACCAAAACTTCCTGAAGTCACAGCTGGAGTTTCTGAGAACAAATCAAAACATCTTGTTAAAAAGTGCATATTCATTTTCTGCAGAGGCACAATTCCTTCTCTTCGGACCAACTGTTCATTTACAGAGACTGAACAACAAGATCCAAATGAAGCCTTCCTCCTGGTCTATGTACTGGTCATTGCCAGCCAGCCCACACTACCTCATAACCTACACACTCTCATTTGAAGGGTTTTCAGCTTTCCCCCGAGGTAAGAACCCTGTGCAAACACCTCAGCCTGAGCCCACTAAAGGCACCTAACCCCCCCCTTGTGCTAACAAACACTGGCAGATGATGGCTCACCTTCAATGAGCTGATAGAGCTGGGTCCCACCGATGCTCTCCGTTACATCGCTCTTGCGGGACACCTTACGGTAGCGGATCTTGTAGCCAGTGATTTGCCCACTGTGTGTCCCTGCAGGAGGAGGCTGCCAGTGAAGCATGATGCTCTGTGGAAGGCAGAAGGTCATTACAATGTCATCACCCCCCACACAGCCACAGAAACTACCCTAGTGCCAAGAGTTCATGAGACACAGGACAAAGTACTGCATTTTCATGTAGTAAAGCAGAGCCTGTATGTAACAAGTAAAACCCTACGATTCAGCAGCCACCCAGGTCATACACGTGCCTACAGAAGTTCACCTTGAAGCATTCGATCCTGTTAGACCTTTTGATACAAACAGCCCCCTTGGTTTTCCCCTTCACTTCCTTCAGGTTATCTTAAGATAGGGTTTACTGGAGGATCTATCACTAAGAACTGGTATTTTCTCTAAAGGGTACAGGTTACCTGACCTGTAGTTTATGTACATGAAGTTACTTAGTTTTAGTCATACAGGTGGTAAAGAAGATATTTGGAAGCTGTCAGAAAAGGCTTTTTAAAGAATCTCCATTCATAATCTCCAAAGTCACAATGCCCAAGTGCAGAACTTTCTCTTTAAAACACCCAGGACTCTACAACGTTAACCAATAGTTAATCAACAGGAACATGTTTGAGCCATGGTGTTTCTGGCCTTTGTGGCTGATGAAACCTATTTCATAATTAGCCTCCGTGCCTTGGTGCATTGTCATCGTCTTCACTGCATTCCATGCATACAACCCACAACAGGACTGGAGTTTCTAGGGCGTCAAGCACCACGTTCAGATATTCTCCTATACAAACAGCTGAAAAGCAGCACAGTAGAAAAAAAGACCCCAAATTGGGCAAATCTAAGCCCTGCCAAGCTTTTATTTACAAAGAGGAGATTCTCCCCATCTTACCTTGGAATTGCGGACCTCCAGCGTCAGATTCTGTGGTGGAGCACTGGGGACTAGAAACATTCATGGAATTACAACTCCAGACTTGCCACATATTGTACCAAGTTCTGTATTTTCATGCACAAATGCTCTCTGCTATCAATCATTATGAAAGTACAAACCCTTCTGGTTGAAGACACTGTATAAGAACTACAATATACAACCAGGTACTTTATGACATGCACTGACTGGCTTAGAGGCTTCTGTATCGTTGTCTGTCCAAGAACAAACTCACTTCTTATTCAGGTCTCTACTTACTAAAGGTATCTAAATAACAAACGGTTTCTATTTAAAGGTACTTCCCATGAACTCTAAGAAAAGAGATCACATTCTGTACTGTTCTAAATCAAATCTTTAATATTCATGCTTGATTCTGAGAACCCCCATGCAAAATTCCAGCCATGGATTCTGTGATCATGATTTTCGGTAACAGGAAAAGCTCAGGGTCAGCTCATCCCTGTGTTACCGAAGGGTAAAGCGCATCACAAAGGCAGGTTCTGCTTTTAAACTTGGCTCTTTGTTAGTCCTTTGCTAGCTGTAGCAACTCGCTGGTCACAACAGTGTAACTCCGTTCGACAAAAGGCAATGTGAATGGGAACCTGAGAGCACGGAAGCCCTGTCACAGCACTTCAGACTCACAAGATGACCTCAAAGGCAGAGATAAGGGTCCCTGAGGCTGCAGCAGAGTACAAGGACCAGGATGTAGCTCACAGGGTAAAGGCTGTCCCAGTCCGAATTAAGTACTTCCCAAATAACTCACCCCAGCTACAACAATACCTAAGAAAACACCCCCCAGTGCAGAAAGTGAGAGGTACACTGGGCTGGAGCTAAATAAATACAAGTATGGCGGGGAGGGACTCTCCATCAGGGACTGTAGTGACAGGACAAGGGGTGACGGGTTCAAACTGAAATGGGAAGTTCAGGTTGGATATAAGGAAGAAGTTCTTTACTGTAAGGGTGGTGAGGCACTGGAATGGGTTGCCCAAGGAAGTGAATGCTCCATCCCTGGCAACGTTCAAGGCCAGGTTGGATGGAGTCTTGGGTGAGATGGTTTAGTGTGAGGTGTCCCTGCCCATGGCAGGGGGTTGGAACTGGATGATCTTAAGGTCCTTTCTATTCTATGGTTCTATGATTCTAAATACCCATCTTCCACTATCCCACAGGTAAAAGGGAGACAACAAGGATCTGGTTTTCCTTCTCTCTTGCCAAGTGAATAGAGTCTGAAATGAACAGACGAGGGATTAAGTGCTAGGGCCTTTAAAAAGCCACACAGGTTAAGAGAAGAAAATGAGGTTAAGCTTTTTTTGCTGTTTGTTTTACGTGGCTGGTGCCTACTTTCAGAGCAACCTTAAGAAAAGACTCAAGTTTCCCAAGAAGAGATTAATAATTAGCATCTATATTGCAAATGTGGCAAGAGAAGGACAATCAGCAGCACACAGGAAAGGATACATGCACACAGGTGTACTCATACACACTTACCTCGCCATGTGCACAGCTCATTTTATGTCAAGGTAAGCTTAGACTCAGACCAGATGAAGAGTTTAACCAGTCCAACAACTGGAATGGATGTTCTATGGTCAAGGTTCTTTCCATCCCTAGCTAGTCTATGATTCTATGATAGCCCACGCTTCGACAGCAAAGGCCTGACCTCATCTGGTACGTTGTAGACAGGTGACCCCAGGCCGGAGGGCCATGATGAGCTGACAGCTCAGAGAGCTGTGATGACCCATAAGGACAATGTCCTCGCTCAGGGTGTGACACAGGGATCACGTTTCCAACTGTAACACACAACTGCTTCCCATAGATCAGGAGGATGATGAGAAGAGAGGTGATGCTTACATGCAGCACGTAAACTGGGGTTCACATTGTAATACCTAAAAGGGTTACCCTGCAACAAATCACTGTAACAGATCAGGAGCAAAAACCTACACAAGAATGCAGAAGCTTGTTAAATAGAACCTAAAGGAAGGTCAGAAAGAAATCCCTGCAGGAGACACAGAGAGAGCTTAGGGACACCACAGAAAGGGAACTCAGAAGAAAACATGCATTATTCATCTGGAAGGATTTGAGATTGAAGGGGGAGAGCAGCATGGCTGTAAGGCTGTAAGCAGCACGATGACATCCTTCAGAAAGCTTTAGAAAAGCCATTTCTGTTGGTTAAACATGAAAACTGAAATTGGGCCAGAAAGAACTTCAGGAAAACCTGACAGCGACATTACAAGTAATAACAAACTCTTCTTCAAACAACTAAGGAGCTGGAAACCCTTTAGAGAGGGGCTAGTGAATGGTCAGGGTATGACAAATAAAGGAAGAGATAAGGCCACACATCTATCTCTGTGTTTGTACTGAGTGAAAGGAAGAGGAGAGGCTCCATAATAACCCTTTACAAGGGACCTGCAGGATCTCTCAAACAGAAATGTCAACACAAGGGATTACAGAAAAGTCAGACAGGGAACAGGAGCGTGTGGCCAGGGTTAGCTGCTATCCATCCAGGATTCCACAAGGAAGTTGGGAACATGACAAATGTGTAACCTCTCACAAGTTACCTTGATACTGGGAGGTGGCAAATTCAATGTGGGATTTACAAGGGGTTCCATTTGAGAAGCTTCGAGTGGAAGTCAGAAACCTGTAGCAGGCAAATAAACTGAAGCTACAGTAAGTGTGAAACTCCCAGATGCACGGAGCAATAATACATACTTGTCACTTCTTACAGGGAAATCCTGCACTGCAAACCTGCTGGAGAGCTCTTCGGGAAGGGGACAGGAGAGAAGTCCTTGCCTGAGCAAACAACTGGTTCAAAGAAAGGAAAGAACAGGTGGGACCGTCCACGGTGATGACCTGCGGAGGTGCACCATGGAATGCACCGACACCCCTGTGGCTCAGCACACTGGAAGCGATGAAAGGGGATGAGCAGTGAGGTGACCGAGGTAAGTGCAGACAAGGTCTGATGGTAAAGAACTGCAGAAAGACCTCAGCACGTTTAGTGCCTGGATATTAAAGTGAGAGATGAAGTTCACAGTAGATAATGTTATGCACATGCGAAAAAAGATCCCATCTCTACGTGCAAAACAATAGCTCTCAGCAGACCAATTCCATGAAGATTCTCAGCAAACCCAGTGCTCAGAATGATCCAAGAAACAGGCAAATGCTGGTCATTACACACTTGCATCTTTGATACAATTTTAGTCCCCTCTTTTAAAAGCAGAGAAAAGGAACTGTGGCAGAAGGCAGGGAAGGGCACTGGAGGCTGAAATGGCTCCAGGGAAGGAATGGCTAACCATGTCTGTGACTTGGGAATCCGGGAAAGAGAGGGATGAGGGAGAACACGGCAAAGGTCTATGAAATGAGGAGCAGGACACAGAGGGCTGATGGACACTAAGACACAGCAGGCTCAGAACAGACAAACAGGGGTGATTTTCACAGTAAGGTCATTGGTAGATCTTTGTGCGTTTGATGTTGCGGATGGTAAAAGCTGACGTGGGTTAGAGAGCATGCTGAAAGGGTTTCATACAAGAGCAACTGAATTAGTAAATACACAGAAACCACTGCAGGGTCAGGAAGTCCCCCAGGAACGAACTCGGGCATAGGGAGTTTGGGACAACGCAGCTCTGCGCTCATCTCTTCTGGTGTGGGTCACTCCTGGTGAGAGGATCCCAGGCTAGGCTCGCTTTTGCACTGACTGCTCTCATATAGGGGTCAACTTATCCGTAAAAGTTAACATGAACTCGATTCATTCCACACTTGACCACAGACCTGTAGTTGCTCATGTCACCTCTTTATTTGCCTCACAGAACAGTTACCATTTTCTCTTCCATTACTGTATGCAATGGATTTAATAGTATGTGTCTAAACAAAGACACACAACTTCTTCCCATATAATCACAATTAAACAAACCCACTCCAAAAGCAGAACTCTGGTCGATGTGTAAAAATACTGCAAAACCTGACAAATAATTTGGAGCCCTTGCATTCAATACACTTGATTTTCTGACTGCTTTTAATACTTTGTAGACTCAATAACCCATGAAATAAGCTCCTGATGTTGAGATGAAGGACACCATTGTTTCATAAGCAGAACACCTGGTACTTTTGCAGGTACAGTAATTTTCCTTCACCCAATTTAGAAAGCCTAAGGGGGAACTTTCAACTATGTATGGCCCTATGCAACAAGGACCTTTTTAATAAAACAGGGCAGCAGTGAACAAAGGCTGGTTAAAAATTCACTCAAAGGAAATGACTGGATAATTCCTGTAAAGAAAAAGAGCAGGGATAAAGCAGCTCACCATCTGACAGCGTTCGCACAACAACATCCTGGGTGGAGACACCGGGGCCGTGCTTGTTGTACGCTACCACACGGAAACTGTACTCTGTGTACTTCTTTAAGCCGTTAATGGTGTAGGAGAGTCCTGCTACATCAACATCCTGTGCATAAGGAAGCACACAGGTGAGGTCAGAATCATCACTATTAGACATGCCTTACGAGTTTGAGTAAAGCAATTCTTCAAGTCACCTGGCAAACCTGCCTGTTAGTAACAATTCTCACTATGTGCTCAACAGTGGGATGCAGAAGAGGTCATTTTACCTGAGGAATACATTCCTATTTAAAACAGATGTAAAAACTTATCTTGAAAACTAACAAAAATACTCTTCCTGTAGCTTTTTAAAGCTGGGATCATACTCATATGCCATCAGAAGGAAATTAAATGGCTGGGATTAATCCTCCCAAAGCTGTGTTTATTCTCAGGCGGCAGCTTGTACTTCTACAGAACACACTGGATCCTCCCAGTAGAAATTTAATCAATAAGATGCTCCACACTATCAAAATATCCACCAGTGAATCAAAGAGCTCAAGTAGTAAGAACAGCTCAGACTAAGGATCATGCTAAAAATCAGGAGTTAAACTATTTTACTACAAAACCATAAGCATCCTTTGCACTGTCTGAACCAGAGGGAAGATGGTTTTCATGAATATTTGTGTTCTCCTCTCATGATATGATGGACTTCCCCAAAAAGCTGCTCTATGCTGCTGAGTATCTAAATAAGTTTAATTCCAAGGCATTTCATGCTGGATTTTTCATTCTTAACATTTCCTTTGTTTAGGCCATAGGATTCAGCCCATCAGGGAGATGAACGCTAGCTGCGTTTAGGAATTTAAGGTAAAAGCGTACTAAAAGGAAACAGGCTGTTCCCAGCATTATACACCCCACAGGAAGGGCCGGGCTCCCTACCTGCTCAGTGTCCTGCCCCTTCTCCATGTAGTAGAGTTTGTAGTTCTGGATTTCACCATTGCCTGACAGCGGCGTTTCCCAGGTCACCGTAACGGAGGTGGGGGAAGTGGCTGACGCTCGGATGTTGGGTGCTGGACCAGGAAGCTGAACTGAAACACAAGTGTGAAACTCTGCTCGTCACCGGGCTGAACCATCACCATCTGCAGTGGCTCAGCATTTTAGCCTCAACTCCACTACCAGTGAAGGTAAAAAGATGTGTATTTATTCCCATTTCACACAGATTCATTGGGGCACTTAAGGCGGGACCCAATTTCTGAAGGAGATCCTGCTCCCAGGGTCAGATTCCGTTTATCCTGAGCGATTCTAATGAACAACAGACTTCACGTTTGCTTTAAGTTTTCCTTTTGCCCCCTTTTTCAGTTAATGACCATTTAAAAAGGTTCTTATAACAGAAAGTTTTGATAATTTAACAAGGAATTTCCTACCAGTTCTTAATGGCGAGAATAAATCATGCAAGCTCACCAACTTGGAAAATCAGTTTGAAACTACGATCTGCAAGTTGATGGTTGCAAATACAACTTTTAAGAGTACCTACTTATTCTGGGAAACATCAGGAATGAGAAAACCACCACCACCACCACACCATGGATCCCAAAGTCAGGAAGCCTCCAGGTATTTAGCACGTACCCTCAGGCTGAGTTGCCACCTTCAGCGGTGCTGAGCTCTCCCCAGGGCCATGCTTGTTCTGAGCCACAACTCGAAACACATAAACTGTTTCTGGCATCAGGTTTTGGATCATCACTTGTGTCTCTCCAGGACGACTTGTATTTTCGACACGTTCCCTTTGGGAAACAAAAGGGTTGGGCACAGCGACCATCACTGATTAGCAAGAGGGGTTTTGAGGGGTAAATAAAGGAATAGTTGCTCCCAAGATGTATCCTGTATGAATATATCTAATGCCTTAATGAGGAGGTTATTCATACAGCAATGACTAGACAATAAAACAAGAATATGCCAGAAGTACATGTGATAAACAGCTTCTGATTTTGTAACTTCTCTTCAGAAAACAAAGATGCACTGACCTAAAAGAATGACTTACACCCAACAACACAAAACTCAGAGTAGCTTCTTTGTTATTCCCGTAACAGAGCACGGTAATTCAGGGACAGCTTTTCCTACTAGTGTGAAGCCAGAAGAAAAGCTGGTCCAGGAGCACGCACAGAGTCTGGGGAGGTTGAAGGCATCTCTGTTAATATTGTGGGGCTGCTTTCTGTGTGTTTGTCAAAGAAGCTTTCACCGCATCTTGCGGCCTCCAAACTCCACTTGGTTCCTCCCTAATATTTAGACGATTTGCAAACATCCACAGGCTCTGATGTGCACAACAGCTGTGGCCTTTCTGCTCTTCCCACAGAGGCAGTGGGAACAAGAGCCAGCTCTGCTGCTCATCAGTCTGAGGTGGGAGCAGGAGCCGCCCCTCAGCAGTGCTCGATGCTCGTGTTGCGGAAGCACCATGGCCTCACACCCAGCACAGCTCAGGAAACTCCATCAGCTCTTATGGAGCTCAGGCCTGAGGGGGAGATTAAAAGATTAATCATCAACCAACTACAGCCTTTATTTCATAGGCACCGCTGCTGCCATGTGAACGTGCACAGAGCTGCGCCTGGGTGACGACACCTCCGTACCGGCTTCCCTCCAACAGCAGCTCCCTACCCCTGTACATACAAGTAAAACCAGTGTTACTGAAGAAGAAATCAAACCCTTCCCCACTGAGAACATAGAGGGAAAATGTGCCTGCTCTGAATGCAATGCCTTCCCTTTTGTCTGCTAGACTTCGTTTCACTCTACAGCAGAGGGCAGGCGATTCTCATCTCGACCATTAGCTGCTATTAAATCATTTTTAATGCAGAAGCCCAGGCATAATCATTCCACAGTCTCCCCTTCTCTACATTCCAGCCACGATGGGGCCAAAAGCCCCATTTGTAATTTATTTCTTTCTAAATCAACTGGTCTGGTTGACTTACCATAACCTGGGTGAAAACAGGATGAACTCCCTGCTTCTTTCTGCACTGCTTCACTCTGACTATACAGAGGGAGACTACACTTAAGAGTAACTAAAGAGCTATTTGAACAGTTTCTAGAATGTTCTCCTTCCTGCAAGTTGAGCTGAAACGGCACTGCATAAACAGCTTAATTTAGATCAGATTTTTAGTCACTCCCTTCATGAAATGAGCACCATCATCATCATCATCACACATTGATGGACACGCTTTTACAAAAGGCTGCTCCTCTTTTCATGTTTATAAAGTAGTTTTTGCAAGAAGGAAGCAAGACCCATGCTAACAAACTACCCTTCCCTGCACAGACTGACACTGGGGTAGGGAAAGAGAGAAACGTTTCCTCCCCTTTCCCACTTCTAACCAGGGCAAAAGGCTTGCCTGAAAACGCATTTTCAGCTGTTACCTTTAAGAGGTGCCCGAGATGCAATGATGGTATCAGAACACCCCAAGGAAGTGCCAGCTGATTCACAGCTGTGCTGCAACATCCACCTCCCACTGACATGCAAGGCTTCTTGCATTTGCTGCCTCCAGTGTAAAGGCCCTCACTGATTTTCCTCAGAAATTCCATCAGCAATCCAAGGGTATTACTTAAAATTACCCCAAAGTGAAAATTATTTTAATGGAAAGACAACATCTCTCAAAAGCCTAGAGACACGGCACTGGGTTGCCATTTGGGGCAGTAAGGAGGAACTGCAGCCTCCCCTCCCAATGGGATGCCCAAAACACAGGCAGATTAATTAATGTTGCATGAATCTCTCTTTCCTGCCCCTCTGCAGGGAGCCACGAGCACCTTTTATGAGCTCGGATGTGTTCAGGTAGGCGTAACAGGTACCAAACCAGATGGTCTGTATGAACATCCCATTACCAGACAGAACGTTATGACTGTTCTAACTCATTCCAGTTTAATCCCCAATTAAAGAGCTCTGTAAACTGGAGTGAAGGTTTAAAACCTCTCTCAAGTACTGAAGGGAAAAAGCTTCCAGTGCAAAACCAGGAACAAAACCTGGAAATGCGAAGTTTTGAGATATACTTGGATATATGTTCAACATCTTTGTCACTGACATGGACAGTGGGAAACTTGCAAGTTTGCCGATGACCCCAAGCTGTGTGGTTCGGTTGATACCCTGGAGGGAAGGAATGCCATCCAGAGGGACCTCGACACGCTTGTGAGGTGGGCTGATGCCAACCTCATGGAGTTTAACCATGCCAAGTGCATGGTCCTACACCTGGGTCGGAGCAATCCCAGGCACAGCTACAGGTTGGGCAGAGAAGAGATTCAGAGCAGCCCAAGGAGAAGGACTTGGGGGTGTTGGCTGATGAGAAAATGAACATGAGCCAGCTTCAGTGTGCGCTCACAGCCCAGAAAGCAACCCTATCCTGGGCTGCATCCAAAGGAGCGTGACCAGCAGGTCAAAGGAGGTGATCCTGCCCCTCTACTCTGCTCTTGTGAGACCTCACCTGGAGCATTGTGTGCAGTTCTGGTGTCCTCAACATAAAAAGGACATGGAACTGTTGGAACAAGTGCAGAGGAGGCCACGAGGATGCTCAGGGACTGGAGCACCTCCTGTACGGAGACAGGCTGAGGAATTTGGGGCTGTTCAGGCTGGAGAAGAGAAGGCTGCGTGGAGACCTCATAGCAGCTTCCAGTATCTGAAAGGGGGCTATAGGGATGCTGGGGAGGGACTCTTCATTAGGGACTGTAGTGACAGGACAAGGGGTAATGGGTTAAAACTGAAACAGGGGAAGTTTAGATTGGATCTAAGGAGGAAATTCTTTCCTGTTAGGGTGGTGAGGCACTGGAATGGGTTGCCCAGGGAGGCTGTGAATGCTCCATCCCTGGCAGTGTTCAAGGCCAGGTTGGACAGAGCCTTGGGTGACATGGTTTAGTGTGAGGTGTCCGTGCCCACAGCAGGGGGGTTGGAACTGGATGATCCTTTCCAACCCGAACCATTCTATGATTCTATAAAGATGACCCTTCAGGAAATGACTGCAAGGGAGGATTGTCTGTGCAGCCGGGTCAGCTGAGAGCCTGCCAGGCAGCTCTCAGAGACACTGTGACAGGGTGATCATACACAGCTAAACCCCATGTTCCATGTTTGGAGCACACTGTGTTGAACCATGGCTTTAATGCTGTTGGGCTACCTCACCTCCATGGCGTAATCTGCCCCCTTGTAATAGCCAAGTGCTAGCTATTTCTTCTCTTTTTGTCCAAGTCCTGACAGTCTGGAGTTGTTCTGCTCAGTCCAGGTCTAAAGCTTCAGAGAATTAAACCTCCCCTGGCCCCCTACACACCTGAATTTCCCTACCCTTTACAGGGGAACCTTTTCAAACTGGATGAAATAACCGAGTGACCATACAGTCTATAAGGATTCAGTCATTTCCCCCGATCAGATTACTTCAGTCCTTCCAGAGACATCCACATAACTGCCTCAATAAAAGCCACGCTGAAGTCTTCAAGCCAAGGTGAAGATATGCCACCTGCTGATGACATTCTGCAGTCACTGACACCATCAGGAACCAGGCACCTTACAGCTGATGTCTGTGCTTTGAAATGCTCCTCTGCCATGAGAGTTTCAGTTTCTCTGCTAAAAGCAACCTCCACGTCCTGCAGATCTTCATTCTCACCCCTCAGCAGACACAGCTCACTATCAAACCCAGCTTTAACCGTTTCCTAAGCACCAGAAGCAACCACTGTTGGCAGCACTGGCATTTTAGCTGCAATTCCTTGTTTGTTGCTGTTTTTATAAATCTTCTGGAACTTTCAACTCGGGCCAACAGTTTCTGCGAGCAGACATGGGGGTTAAAACATGAAATGAATTTCTCTGGGCAAAGGGTACCCCTTGGCAGCAGAAGCAGTTTGTGGCATAAAACCGACATGCGGTGCAGGAAGAGCCTTTTGCAGGCTCACCCAGCAAGTTCTTGCCACCTCAACAGTCCTCTAAATCATAGAGCCACAGCCTGGTTTGGGTTGGAAGGGATCTTAAAGCTCACCCAGCTCCAACCCCTGCCACGGGCAGGGACACCTTCCACTAGAGCAGCTTGCTCCAAGCCCCTGTGTCCAACCTGGCCTTGAGCACTGCCAGGGATGGGGCAGCCACAGCTTCTCTGGGCACCCTGTGCCAGTGCTTCATTAGTCCAAAGGGCAAAGTTAAGGAACACCTTCCATGTTTCTGTGTGTGTCTCCACTCACTGAACAGGTGAAAAGAACAGGAATGTAAATCAGCAGTGACTGAGGCAGCTGGTAACTAAGGAACCACACGCCTCATATATATGAGGGCTTAAAGCAAGCTGCTCTAGTGGAAGGTGTCCCTGCCCGTGGCAGGGGGTTGGAACTGGAGAAGCTTTAAGGTCCCTTCCACCCCCCACCAATCTGTGATTCTATGCTGTAGTATGCACAGATACTGCTGGGATTTAAGTGCTCCTACAATTCACAGTATGAAGATGACTCTCTCCAGCCCATTAAGATGGGTTACAGATGTCAGGGTATCCAGCTAACCCTTTCCATCTTAGATGTAATTTTCTCAGTTTTCACAAGCCTGATTTAAAAGGTAAATAAATCAAATACTGAGCCTGATCGCTGCTCAAACACAAGCGAGGCAGAGACAACACTTTAACTACTAAAAGGATCCAGTAATGCACGCAATGAAAGTGGTATGTGTAGGCAAAAATGTAATGGTATGAGGAGATGGTACAAATACACTTAAAACCATAAAAGATATAGGATCATATATAATTCAAGGACTAAAAAAGCCATCATTTAAGTAGTGCTTTATAGTGCTGAGAAAGAAAAGAGGGTTGCACATCCAAGCTTCACTTCCAAATTTTCTGATTTCCAACTGCTTAGATGTATGCGATGCTCATCTTAATTTAATACCCAAGCAATGTTTCCATAAGGTCCAACCAACTGGTCAACAAGTACCATGTAACAGCAACATGCTAAACAGATTTTTCTCCCTTTTTAAGAAGATTTTATTGTCCTGATTGTCTAAGTGCAGGCTGAAAGGCTGGATTTCAGAGTGGGTTTGTATCTGTGCAATGCGTGATGCCAACTGTCTCACAAAAAAAACTCCCCAAAAGCAAAGGAGTGGTGAAGTTGAGAAAATAGTGAATATGTGCTAATAAAAGGCTTCCAGAGCCTGCTCTGAACCCTAACCCAGAAGGACACTCAAGCAAACACAGATCCTATTGAAGGCAATGGAACCACCTGCTTCCATCTAAGCACCAGGTTAAGTGCTTTGCTGTGTAAGGTTCTGTGGACTACAGGAACCCAAGCCTGCAGGGCTGCTCTGCAAGAACTGGAAACAGCATTTGCTGCAGGTTTTCCTATAACCTTTTGATTCGTGCACCACGGGTCTAGAGATTCCTTTTACCCTTTGTTCTGCACATGCTCTTGGCACAAGGAGAGTATCTGCTAGATTTCTATAGTCTTGCATGGAGCGGAAGGGGATGTGTTGTGCTTCCTCCAAAGCAATACAGAGAGGAAGGGAGCCTTCTCCAGCAAATGGCTTTCTAAAACCCCACTGGGTTACAACCAGGGACGTGGAAGAGGAGCGGCAAGAAGCAACAATGGCTGGCCAGATCCCACATTTCCTTCCTGTTTCCCTTATAGTATCTCCAGTACAACTGAGTACTACCCAAGTAAGGAAGGAGCAAAGCAACACTGGTGAGGCAAAGAAACCCTTTCCTCATTGCCTCAATGAACGGCCATGAGCCTGGACAAGGGGCCTGGCCACTGAATTGAGAGCATGGCAATTCACTGCAAGTAGTGGTGAGTTTTGTGTTCTCTTTAAATGACTTTCTCAACTTGGATCCTCACACTTTAGTAAGCAAGTAGATGTTATTTTTCTCTTGAGTAATGAATCTGATCAACAAGCTAATTTGCAATTAAGCATTGCTCAAATGACTGCTAGCTCTAAGTTCTTTAAAACCCTATCACACCAATTTGAAACTGTAATTCTGAGCAGTAGAGCCTGTCAGGAAGAAAAAGGGGTTGACTGAACTAAACCATTGGCATAATATGTCCCAAATGCTTCAGATTCATGGCATTCCTCTTGACAGGGATGACTTGGAGAGACTCAACATTTAACTAACCCCAACCCCATGGTCCTCTCTAGAATCAGACTCTGTCCAGAGCTTTAAAGCATGAAGTGACCTCTTGCTCTCAGTAGCACACAGTGTATCTGGAGGGTGTTTCCAGGCCTATGGTGGGCGGCATTTACAGCAGAGGCAGGGTACCTGAAGAGGTGTTACTGTCTATGCTCGCTCTTAGTGCCTAAGCAGGCTACTAAAAGCAGGTAGCAACTGCTTGCAGTCAACCAAAACCATGCACAAGCATCGCCTCTATGACTATGTATACATGCAGCGACAAAGCAAATAATGCACTTTGTTTAACCAGGGTGCAGGAGGGAAGGAAACACAACCCCTCACCTCCGCCGTCCATCAGACTTGGAGCACTGAGAGCTTTTATAGGTTTATAGTGCTTCTAAGCAAAGCTAGCGTGAAGAGCAGCAACGAAAGAGCTGTGTTACACGTCGAGATCTTTACCTGTTTATACCTTCCTTGGTGTAGAAGATTGAATAGGTGAGGTTGTCTCCTTGAGGGTCAGATACAGGTGTCCGCCACGTCAACCGGATGAAGCGAGTGGAGACGAGGGTGGCCACGACATCCCGCGGGGCTGAAGGCAGCGGTCCTGTTGTCGCTGGTGCTAGATGGTCATTAGTGGCACTGGTCAGTGAAGTGGGAGGTAATGTTGGGATGGCAACATCTTGTCATGTGCAAACATTGGGGAATATGAAGGGCAAACATCACCACGGGTTAAAAAAAAAAGAAAATAGAAAAAGAACACAAAAGAAATAAACAAAACCACGATGGGAAACAAAAGAAAATGAACACACACAAAAAAGGCCATTAAACTGAAGGCTGACATGCGGGCAAAGGTACTACTGGAAACTAATGGGAATATTAAAAGACACGTCACTGTCGAGCAAGCAGACCAGATCTCCACTGTAATGGAAGTGGCAAGGGAAAAGGAAGGGTGAAGACTGGGGATACAATATGACCTCATCAGAGGACGTACCAGCAGCAAACAATTCCCATTTCCTTGTAAACCAGATGTAATACCCCCCCCCCCCAAAAATACCCAACTCATTATTTACTTAAAAATACACCCAGACCCAATGCTCTATTTCATTACCATGCAGGATTCAGTTATACTGATCTCAATCACAAACAGCCACAATAACTCATCCAGGTCATGCAGTTAAACACTGAGGTCAATTCACATGGTTAACTGTGTGGGTGCTGCTGCTGACCATGGTAAGATGTGGTGACAAACTTGGTATGGCAGCAGAAATAAAGACTTTCTCCTCAGTTCCACCAAGGGCACAGTTTCCTTTCCAACAAGGCTTTTCCTCCCTCTCCTAACATGTATGACCTCATTGTACAGAGACATTAACAAGCAGAAACAACTCTTGCTTCAGACTAGATGATGACTTCATAAACTTTTTTTGTGGCAAGTCATGTACATCTCCCTGTATTATCACGTGAAAGCCAGGGTAAAGCTCTGGGATTATTACATTAAAAGGTTACAAGTTAACAGGCACGAGTTGTAGGGTACAAAAAGCTCTTCTCCAAATCCTATTAAAGTAATCCATCCGGTAAATCTAACAGTAATATTCTGAGCAGCTGGACCCCAATTACACAGAGTATTACAGGCAGCACAATTAGTAACAGAACCCTAAAGCTCAGGATACCCTGAATTTTTCTGTATTCTTAACTACTTACCAAGCTTAAGCCACCTGATGCCCTTTTCCACATGGGAATCTCTGCTGCCAAATACATTTATTCACTTATTATTTATATAAGCTAACTAAAACTCCTCAGGTTTTCTGCAGAAAGCAGTTCAGGGCTAGCACAGCTTTAGCTGAGAGCTGCAGCACCTCCACCGAACACACCACCGGAATATGTGTCTTGATAGACAAGGAGAAAACTGCACACAAAGAGGGCTGGCTAAAGCCGAACACGTTAATCTGCACAACCAGACCTTCAGGCAGACACACTGAGACATGGAGAAGTCTTTCAACACCCACCTGGCTTTAAACTGTACCACCCCCCCCCCCCCCCCCTTATCCACCAGCACAGCTACTTCAATACACAAATTCCATATATCCACTGTTTCAGCTGAACTGCAGGGGATGAATTTCCACTGTGTAGGCTTCCAAAGAAGGAAAGGCTAAACAGCAGCATCAGACTGATAGCCTTCAGTACAGCAGCTGTCTTTTAGAGCTCTAAATGGAAGTCATGTACCTTCCACCACCTTACACGAACACTTTGGTTTCTCTTATTTGTCTCAGTCATACTGCCAGGTGACCTGCTTCAAATCACATGTTCTTGATGCCAAAGCTGCATCTTCCCTATCTTTAAACATCATTCTATTTAGTAAAAATGTAATACAAATGTTTTTTTAAAATAATTCCATTGAACCAAAATGATGAAGTTTCTCTAAGGAAAATACTCCCCTGATAAATGTTTAAACTTCACCTGCTTCATCAAAAACACATCCCACACACTCATGTGTTTGTCTTTCGATATAATGCAACAGATCCATCTTCTACTTAACTGATCTGCACGTGGTGCCTCAAGAACCTGCAGGCATCAGGATGGGAGTCTGGGAGTGCTGCCAAGAGCTCCCAGGTTAACAGGAATCCGGCTGTATCCTCACGCAGGACTCAGACCCAGAACTCCTCCTCCTGCCAGCATTACAGTAGATGGGTCAAACACACCAACAAACTACCGGCCTCTGAAGCAAACGGACCCACATCAAAGCACAGGGGCTTGCAAATCCCATGAGGAAGCTCAACAACAAACAGGCACGAAAGCTCACCCCGGGCAAGCTGCAATTAAATGCCAGCTCGGAAGCAATCTGGTATGTGGAGAGCTGGGGAATGTATTGAGAAGACCAGGTTATTTCCTTTGCTTTTCCCCCTCTTCTTCCCAACTCCTCAAGTGCCATTGCACCCTGGTTTGTACCCAGCCGTGTGAGCAGAGGGCTCAGCAGTGCAGAGCGGTGGTGATGAGTAGTTATACTACCATCAGCTTTAATGCTGATAAGGGAGCAGCTTTAGAACTTCAAGCTTTTGAGCATGGTGTAACAAGTAACATTAACTTACATTTAATCACTTTGTATAAAGTACCTATGCTCCGGAATACTCTTTGCAGGCCTCTTCCTACACGGTTTCACATGGATCTCAGTTCTGAGCTAAGTACCAAATACACCTATTCAGCAAGTGACAGGCTTTCCATGCTAAGAACATGGAAAACTAGTGACACTGCTGCATGCCAGATGTGTACACAACAGATTAATCTTTGCAGCCACTGCTGACAGAGCAGTTCCTGCTGTTTCTAAGGGAGCAAGAAAAGCCCTCATTCAGTTTGGCATCACGCAACGGCTGTACAGGTGAGGTACAGCATGCTGTCTTCAGCAGCATCTGAACTAAGTCCTTGAGCAGAAGAGCTGATGTAAATGAATCACTCCTTACACAACAGCTCCACTGCAGTCAGGGCTGGGAGGGGAAAGTGAGGGTAAACAAATGTTGCGAAGAGGACACACTAAAAGTGCTGTGATGCCATTTCAGTCCTGGATCAACAGACAGCGAAAGTCACTTGCTTTATCTGTGGCTAACAAAGTTAAGAAATAAGTTAAAACACAGCAAGTCTCAAGCAGTCCTTTTCCTGCTTTGCACAATGACTTTTCTAACATCTGGATTACACATTTCTCAACTCCCTTCTGTCAAACTGCTCTTTCCAAGGGTTTCTTCTGAGCAGACATCACCTATTGCAACTGTTTTATCAAAATGGTTTGCAGGGTGAACAAGAACCCACAAGGAGCTGGACTCAAGGGGTAGATTCAGGTTAGACATAAAGCAGAAGCTCTTCCCTGTGAGGGTGCTGAGGCGCTGGCACAGGGTGCCCAGAGAAGCTGTGGCTGCCCCATCCCTGGCAGTGTTCAAGGCCAGGTTGGACACAGGGGCTTGGAGCAAGCTGCTCTAGTGGAAGGGGTCCCTGCCCGTGGCAGGGGCTGGAACTGGGTGAGCTTTAAAAGCTCCTTCAACCCAAACCAGGCTGGGATTCTCTGATTCAAACAAATAACCATCAGTGACGTCCCTAACTTGAACCATTCACTGGCAAAACCACGATGTTTTAAATTGACCAGCACAAGGCCACCTGTGCCCATCAGTCTGACGCTCTGATGTGGTCCCCAGCCTTTAATCATGCACAGAAATGACTCCCCCACTGCTCCTGCCATAATTCTCCGCAGCGAGATCACAACCCCTCTGCCCGTATCTCTGGTGCTGTTCTGTTATCAGCACTTCAGGATGCTGATGGGATCTTTTCAAAACAACTCTGTCAAACATGCCACGCCTGAAAAGCGGCCACTGAAATGCTCTGGCTGTGAGCTAATCATTAGAAATACTTTCCACAATGTCCAGCCCCTCCGGTTTAGATTTCCTTTTTCCTGCTTTTCTCCCTCCTGTGGTATATTATTGGCCTACTATGGTTTCCTCCAGCTCCGGGCAATAACATTCCAATTATACCATTGAATATACTACACAAAGGGGAAGCCGAATAGGAATGTTATCTGCATGACCTGGGACAAGTCCAGTTCCCTTGGCTAACCCATATGTACAGCAAGTATGTCACTGCTACAACCCACCTCAGGAAGGTGGTATTGAAATGGATGAAATTAAGCAGTAAAACACTTTAAGAACTACTTAGTGGCCACATTTAGACTTTTCTTGGCCATATTTAAGTGCTCACCAAGTCACAGCGCATGTCCAGTGAGAGCAGCAGGGATTTGTGACCGAGGGTTGAGGCTACACTTACATTGGAAGGCCACAGGAGAGGCAATGATGGGTGAATCAGCTGTTTCTGAGAGCTACACCTTCCTTTATAGGTTTCACTTTGGACTAGCTCTTTCCCTGGACAGAGAGCATCTTCCAGTTCAGTTTCATCCCAAAGACATGGACATCCAAGACCACTCTGAGGTGCAACTCAGTGGGCAAGGAAGAGGCATGGGTGGGAAATATCAGGGGTAGAAATGAGAACTTTCACACTGATGCACCCTGAGAGGCCACAGAGGGGTTAAGCAGAGAACAAGAGAGACCCAGCCAACAGGAATCTGGAGCAGACAGTGGTCTATGTACTTCCACAGAAGAAAAGGAAGCCCTCTTGGGGTTTTATAGCTTGTAAACATACACAGACTCTTTGCTTTCAGCCACAGAGATCTACTACAACTAAAACCAGCAAATTCCTCTTCTGTCCAAGGGCCTGCTGGAGAAAACATGACCTAGGACACCCACCTCTCCAAACTCCTTCACTATTTTAACTGTATGCCCCAAGGAAAAAGTATCTCTGAGGCACCAATGGGTTTAATTTTGACTTGGGGTATTTGGATAAAAGTGTTTATGCAATATAAAATATTTTTCACATAAATTGCTATTTGGCCGATTCCTGAAAGGTACTCGAGGCTTTCAGCCGTTTCTCTCACTTGTCCCTGGATGCACTGTTCTCCTAAATTCAAGCTTTAGTGTATGGCATCACTCCTCCTGCTCTGGAGTAGGGTTCAGCTTTGATCAGGATTAAGAAGCTGTGATAGCTCAGACAGTCATAGTGATAACCATTGATTTCCTTCTATACCCTTTCCCTCGTAATATGTAAAAACCACAGCAGTAACTGCTCACAGTGGGATAAGAAATAATGACATAA